ACATATATTCTTGATTCAAAGACTCTCAAGTTAATTAAAAATGTGTACGATTTTGGACATGTGTACGAGGTATCAAGGAGAGGAATCAATTGATTAGGGAGCTCCCAGTCAAATTTCGACAGATTAAATTTAGCATTATTCACAAGAATCAATTTTCGGCTCCAACCCCTTCCGCAACACATACACAAACACGAGAAAAGAAATAGACAAGAACAATTTTTGAGCAATCCAAATGCTTGATCTGTCCCTGCTCCTCGGCCAAGACGAGGAACAAAACAGAACAAAAGTTATTGTTGTCGAGGTCCGACAATAGTCTGGTCCGGCCCATCATATTCCAGCATGAAAGATCCATTTTCTGGGCTGAAACATGATCACAGAAACATTATGTTTTAAGATCATCACGATTTTCCTAATTAATTCTTCTGTGGAATTTTCATCTTCTCCAGTAATTAAATTTGTTTAGTGTCTAGTGAAAATCGAAGGATCTAGATTTAAGATAAGCTCATCATTCTATGACAATGTTGTAATCAACATGTCAACACAACGTTACATCCCACATTAAAAGAATTTGGAAAGGGTCCCGATTATAAAAGGGTGCATTGCACACTCCATTGAGCTAATTTTTTGGAGAGAGAATAATAATTTTGTGACAAAGTAATATCAAAGTCATATTTGAGTTTGTCCAGTCGTTAGGCTCCTTGATGGGCCATCCATGATGAGGTGTCACATATTGGCTGGGAAAGCTATTATATCCTACATTTGAGGGGCTTGGGAGAGTCTCGGTTATATAAGCAAATGATTGTACATCTCACTGAGTTAATTTTTGAGAAGAGAGTAATAATCTTGTGATAGTAAGCTAGGCTTCTTTGTTTTCAACGTTTTGTTTGTTTGGTCTAAAATATCACTCACATTCATGTTAAAAACAAATAGAACAATACATACACCCACCAATAATAGTTACACGAGATTAGGAAAATAAACAACTCATAAGACATAATAAAGGAACCAATTCCAAGTCTAATAGAAATAAGAAATGATAGAAAGAAGAACAAGAAATAACTAAAGATCTTGAAGATCAAAAATATTTTGCTTTATTGATTAAAAAAAATTTGATTAGTTGTCGTAATATTTAAATTATTGTTATCTTTTTAGTTATACATTTTCATTTAATTTTAGTATTTTTAGAATATTCAGATTTATTTTTAGAGTTTGGCTAATCTCTATAAATAGTATATCAACTGGTTTATTTTGTGTGCATCTATTATTGAATAAAAATTGCTCTTGCATTGCCTTCCCTAGGTTTAATTCTCTCTATATTCTAGCTCCTGGCTCTCTTTCTATCTCTTTACTCTTTTCTCTTATCTTCTCCCTTTTCCTTTCCCTCATGCTGCATCAAAGTCTTTCTTGAGTATTATTAGGAATCTATCATTCAAGAGGATCAGTGACAGAGTAAGTTGGGGGTTTGGTAAAGCATCCCAGAGGCCCCTTTAAAATTAAAATAATTGTACTGTTACGAGGTTAAACCAAGGAAAATAATACATCCTTCAACACATAGAAGCCGAGTCCTTGAAGAACCCACTTTTAGGATTCAAATTTTTTCGTCTTTGCCAATATATAGCTTGTTATTGTTGAACACATATGTTTTCCTCAATTTGCCTTAAACTAATCTCTAAATTGTAACTACCCTAGGTGTTAGAGACTTCAACAATAGCAATAAGCAAATAGCTTTTCACATTTAATAGAAGGTAAAAGAACGAAATAAAATGATTTGTTAACGGTGATGTGAAATTTGATTCAAATACAGTATTTGTCTAAGTAAATTTCTCAAAGTTCTGTGGTTTTAGACAATTGGATCTTTCTAGTGAGAATCATATCTAATAACCATTCAAAAAACTTATTTGCAAAGAATGACCATGCAAATTAGAAAAGAATCACGCAAGTGGGACACGGCCAAGAGTACAAGGTTGAAGAAGGGGAAGGAAGAGGCGAGAAAGGGGAAGGGGGAAGTGGTTGAGATTTTGGGTTGGAATTCAATTTATTCGCCGCACCGTGATTGGCTCCTTCTCCTTCCTTCATTTTTCTACTCTCCATTCTCAATGTCTAATTGTCTTCCCTCTTCACCTACTTATTATTAAAGTTATTACATTATTGCAGGAATTCTAACTCCAATTTACCAAACCGTTTTAAGAGATGATCACGATCAATACCAAATGCTGATCACGTAGAAATTATGGAGGGTGCACGAATATTGAATACAACAAACACGCCTGCTTTATCAGGACTCGTGGAAAAGCAAGGCATGAGAATTAAAAGGTGTGGATGTTAAAATTGGCTTTTATGGGCCGAGCATGTGATACTTGGCTCAACTATCGATGGAAGAAAATACGGGGCGCAGGATCAAGGATGTGAACTGAACATTTTCATTATACGTTTGGAAAAAAGGAAAAACACGGAATCAATGAAAATGTGCCTGAAGGGGACGTTGATGGGAGAGACCATGTGGAGTACCATGCCAACGCGAGTCTCGTGTCCTACGATTACGGGCTCCTCATTTATTATCAAAATACAACGGGACCCATATCGGACACACACAGACACACTCTCAATGCATTAATTTATTATTAATTTTTCCATCTAAAATGTTTCAAAAAGATTCATAAACTCAATTTTATAAATACTTACTTTGAACACAAACATGCTTATGTTATTTATTTGGCTAAAGTGTACTTTAATTTTTTAATTTTATATAATCCTTTTAATTCTATTTACGGGGAAGAGAGAATAATTTTTTTATCCTATTTATAAATTATATTATAAATTTTTACAATTTTTTTATTTTACCCTCTATTAAAAAGAGTAGTGAGAGAAAATATGTTAATATAGAATATATATTCAATAGGGTAGAGTTGAAAATTTTAAATTTTTAAACAGAATTAATAAATTTTAAAATTTTAATAATTTTTAATAAAATGTTAGAAGCATCTTATAAATATAAAATATAAAGGAGTAATGTTTTAGTTTGATCCCATGATTTTATAAAGTATTTTTCAGTCCTCTAACCTAACCTAGTTTTAAATTATTTTTTTAAAAATAAACTTAATACATTAACATATCAAATGTTTTGTTAATATTTAAAAGTTTAATATAATATTTTTGTACTAATAAAACAAATAGTATTAAAGATAAAGCACTGAAATGTGAAAAAGATGCTTTATACAAAATTAAAAGATAAAATGTATATTTTAACCCATTTATTTTTTTATATTAATTTGTTATACACACACGTATATCTGTTAATTTGTTGGCAAAAAAAAAAACACGTATATATAACTATATACGTATATCTTTAGCTATATTCTAAAAATTTTAAATTTGTTATATCTAATGTGACGTGCGTGTAGCAGTATTACATACATTTATCATCTATATCATACATCACTGTAATATACACAATTCAACCAGTAATAACACGACATACATGGATATGCTTGTATACATTTGTTTTGCCCAAAATATAGATATATATGATAAATGTATATACATAGATCTACGAGAACACTGTTATGTTATCATCTCTCGAATTTTATTTTATATTTATAAGTTGTTGTTTTTACATTTTTTTTGGTAAATTTTTTTTAAACATTTTTTACGTGTTTTAAAAAATTATTACAGTATATTTTTTAACTTTTATCTCAAATTTTTTTTATACTCGTATTAAAAATAACGAGAAAAATACAAGGCACCTTGTTATATGCGCCATATTTTCTTAAATAAGAATAAAAAGAAAAGATTTTTTTTTTGAATTTTTGTTCAACACTTCATTTATAAGAATTACCTTTGAATTTACAAAACATATTATAAATAGAATAAAAAAAAGTAATTTGTTTTTTTTTTCAAATGCATAACGTGTTTCAGAAAGTAAAACCGAGGCGCGTGCACTCACACATGCTTGCACAGTTAAATGGAGCTTTAAAGCTTAGCATGGATAAGGAAAAAAAGAAAGAAATAAAGAAAGAAAAGAGGCAGGAGAGAATAAAAACATTCAAAAATAATAAAAAATCTTAATTTTTTTTTGAAAATTTTCTAAAATAGAATTCTTTCTTTTCTTATCGAATTTTCTTTCTGTTCAAATTAAAGATAAGTTTTAATCCTTTCATGAAAGAGCCTTGAGATTTGATGAGTTCTGAATTGTTATTGTGGGAGGCTCTATCTGGGTTGACTCAAAGGCCAGATATTTTCTGAGTCTCCAATTAAGCATCTGAACTTGCTTCAGTGAGAACACAAATGTCTCCGCAGTCAGTAGGGTAGGCTTACCTTTCCAGAACATGCAGTTTTTTAAGATCGGTGGCAAAGATCAAGAATTAAAAAAAAAAAAAAAAAAAGTCCACAAGGCACTCATTTCTGTTTCCACTCAGCAAGCATTGCCGTCACAAATTGAAACTATCAACGGTACGATAAGAAAATTTTACAACATTTATAGTTATGGCGTATCATAACAGTTATTTAATTAATGATAAAAAGGATCAAAGATTTTTGAAAAAATATTATCATTAATTATTATAATTTTATTAAATTTTGTTTTTAATTGTTATAATTTTTTTTTCTAATGTTTCAATGTTGATAAGAGCTGAAAACAATGAAATCATGACAACCTAAATAACAAACGTCACCTAAATTTTTTAAAATTATAAAAATTAAAAATATTAAAAAATTATAAAGATTAAAAATAAAATTTGATAAAATTATTTGTGTTTTTTCAAGATTTTCCAAGCATAGAATAATTATAAATGAAAACAACTCATCAAGGAAAGCCGGATAAAAGATGGACAGAGAGAGAGAAATTTGAAATTGGAACTAAAAATTCTTGAACCATAGTTGTGATAATAAATTCATCCAGAGAGTATAAAAAATTTACCCATTTAATTACTGGAGCGGTACAGTAAGAAACCGGAAGTTTCACATTAATTTGGCTCTCGTCGGGTGGGACCTCTGTATGTTCTTTGCTCTGTAAATGACAGCCTAATCAAAACAGCCTGGAAAAGGTTGTTTTGCAGCTCCGCTAAAAAGCTGAGCTCCATGGGCTTCCAGTAATGGCATTTAACTACTTACCTCGTTTACTCGGCATCATATCATACACAGTTTGCTTCTCCACAAGGTAAATTCATCCACACAACTCATCTCCCCATTCTTTTACGTCCGAAAACATTACCAGAATAGATGCATTACTCTGCTGCTCAGCAAAATTTATGTCTCTCTATTCTTTGTCTGTTATCTGTTCCTTTTATAATAGATCCGACATTGTTTCAGGTTTCGGTCTGGGGATGAGATTTGCAGCATTTTTTGGCTCATTCGACGTGATTTTTGGAGCAGTCTGAGATCCATACTTCCAGTTATGGCGATTCGGGTATCCATTACCCTGTGTTATGGGTTGGTGAAAACATGGGAAGCTACAATGGCGAAGATGAGGTTTTTGAAGTGGTTACTCTTTGTTTTGGTTGTATTTTTGTTTTCAATTGATGGGTCGTCTTCCTCATTCATCCCTCCTGATAATTATTTGATTTCTTGTGGTTCTCCCCAAAACATCACCTTTCAAAGTCGCTCTTTTGTTCCTGATTCGCAGCACTCTTCATTAATTATGAAAACTGGGAATTCTTTAGTGGCCAGTTCCAATTCTAGCGTTCCTTCTCCTATCTACCAATCAGCTCGGATTTTTACCTCTAAAGCTTCTTACAAATTCAAAATTAAGCAGCAAGGTCGGCATTGGGTTCGGCTCTATTTCTGCCCTCTTCCCAACCCTGGCCATAACTTGACTTCTGCTTCTCTATCAGTGGTTACATCTGATTTTGTTCTCCTGAGCAACTTCTCCTTTAGTAACTACAATGGTTCTTATATGTTCAAGGAGTATGCAATCAACGTTACTTCTGCTGCCTTGACTCTCACCTTCATCCCTTCAAATGGTTCAGAAGCTTTTGTCAATGCAATTGAAGTTGTGTCGATGCCGGATGAACTGTTTGCTGATCAGGCATCTGGTCTACACCCTCTGTCCACTTTCAGTGGCCTTTCTGAACTGGCTTTTGAAACTGTTTATCGGTTAAATATTGGGGGTCCTTTGATCACTGCTCAAAATGACACACTGGGAAGAACTTGGGTTAATGATCTGAAATACCTCCATGTGAATAGCTCTGTCCTCAATGTTTCAGTTAACCCTTTGAGCATTAAGTATCCACCAGCTGTTACTCCTGAGACAGCACCGAATTGGGTTTATGCCACTGCTGATGTGATGGGTGATGCAAACGTTCCGATTACAAATTTCAACATTACTTGGGTTTTCTCCGTGGATCCGAGCTTCTCCTATTTTGTACGAGTACACTTCTGTGATATTGTGAGCAAGTCTCTCAACAGTTTGGTGTTCAATCTGTACATAAATTCTGACCTAGCTTTTGGAAGCATTGACCTTTCATCCATAATTGGTAACTTGAATGTGCCTTACTATAAGGACTACGTTTCTGATGCCTCAGCAGATTCAAACACTTTGACTGTGAGTGTTGGTCCGGATAATATGGCAGACATCAGGAATGCCACCATGAATGGTTTGGAGATAATGAAAATCAGCAACAAGTTGAAGAGCTTGGACAGGAATGCTTCAGTTGCGAGTCTCCTTCCGAGTTCACCTTCAAAGATCAGCACGATAGGAATAATAGTTGGTGCTGCTGTTGGGTCTGTAGCAGCACTAGCATTGCTTGTGTTGTGTTATTGCTGCTTGATAGGGCGCAAATCAAAGCCTGCTCAACAAGGGCCTTCTTGGCTGCCTCTGCCCTTTTATGGTAACTCTCAGACCATGACAAAAGTGTCAACAACTTCTCAGAAGAGCGGTACTGCAAGCTGCATTTCTTTAGCTTCCTCAAATCTTGGACGATTCTTCAACTTCCAAGAAATCCTGGATGCAACCAATAAATTTGATGAAAAGTTGCTTCTTGGTGTTGGTGGTTTTGGGAGGGTTTACAAGGGAACATTTGAAGATGGCACAAATGTAGCTGTGAAAAGGGGCAACCCCAGATCTGAACAGGGCCTTGCTGAATTCAGAACTGAAATTGAAATGTTGTCCAAGCTTCGCCATCGTCATCTTGTGTCTCTCATTGGCTACTGTGATGAGAGGTCGGAAATGATCCTTGTCTATGAATATATGGCTAATGGACCCCTGAGGAGCCATTTATATGGAACAGACCTGCCACCTCTAACATGGAAGCAGAGGCTTGACATTTGCATTGGAGCAGCAAGAGGCCTTCATTATCTTCACACAGGAGCAGCTCAAAGCATAATTCACCGAGATGTGAAGACAACAAACATACTCTTAGATGAGAACTTTGTTGCTAAAGTTGCCGACTTTGGCCTCTCAAAAACTGGTCCTGCGCTTGATCAGACCCATGTGAGCACTGCAGTTAAAGGAAGTTTTGGCTATCTTGATCCTGAATACTTTAGGAGGCAACAACTTACAGAGAAATCGGATGTGTATTCTTTCGGGGTGGTTCTAATGGAGGTGTTATGCACAAGACCTGCTCTAAACCCTGTGCTTCCAAGGGAGCAGGTTAATATAGCCGAATGGGCTATGACTTGGCAGAAAAAGGGAATGCTTGATCAAATCATGGATCAGAATCTGGTGGGAAAGGTGAATCCTGCTTCTCTGAAGAAGTTTGGGGAGACAGCTGAGAAGTGCTTGGCTGAGCATGGTGTAGACAGGCCATCCATGGGAGATGTGTTGTGGAATCTGGAATATTCTCTACAACTTCAAGAGACCTCATCAGCACTCATGGAACCTGAAGACAACAGCACAAATCACATAACTGGAATTCAGTTGACTCCACTCGAGGCTTTTGATAATAGCGTGAGTATGATTGAAAGGGGCATCTCCGGAACAGATGATGATGTAGAAGATGCAGCCACAAGTGCCGTGTTCTCACAAATAGTAAATCCTCGCGGAAGGTGATTTGTTATGGTGCACGAGAGATTTGTTAGTAGATTTGGTGTGCATTTGCACCAATCCAATGGGAAGATGGACATTTAGTGGGATTTATATTTCTACAAGTATGTGAATGTGACCGTTGATTTATAGGCTTGGTGTACGTCATACAGGTTTACCTTAGAATTTTCGCCTTTGCGTCCAACCGTCAAGCACAGTGCTCGTTCAGGTCGCCTTAGTCTGTTTTTGTCCTCTTGTCTTCCCTTACTCTGTTAATATAGTTGAATCATGGGATCAAGTTAGCCCTTATATGTTGAATGTAAGGTATCAATAGATGAGTTTTAGTGTCATGCAAGATTTCTGGCTTTCGCTGATCTCCATATTTCCGAATTGGATATTGTATGGATTTATATCAGATAAAATGCTACAAAATCACAGAAAGCATTTTATTCCAGAAGTAACATGTAATGTAAAATGCTACGAGATCACATGATGTTTCTTTCAAAAGTTAGGTTTGGCATTTTACCAAGACATACGCAGCTCGTAGAGCCTTGACAAGAGACGTCGACGTGAAAGGTATTCTGATATTCTCTTTTACTTTTGCCCGTGGTTCGCGTTAGTCCTTTTTTCTCCTTTTCGGCCTAAGCAAAATAGAAGCTCTTTAATTGTTGCAATCAGGTAACAGTATTCTGTGGTGAAGGCGTGCAGCAACCAAAAAAAAAAAAAAAGTTTATTTATTATTTATTTTTTGCCTGTTTTAAGGCTTCCAAAAGCTTCTAGAAACTCATAATTTTTTGCAACTTCCCATTCTTTTCCGTTGATCCATATGCGAACAACTCTTGATTGCAGAATGGAAGGTGGACCACCACCTGTTTCTTGATCTGTATAGCTGTTTTTGGTTTTGAACAAACATTGATCGGTATATAGTTGTTATCCCCTAGTAATACATTTTATTTATTTTACTTCTTCAAAAATAAAAATGCAGAACTAAACTAAAGTTGTCGATTGTGGCTACCAGTTTTACGCGTTTGTTGAGGCCACTGGCCACTTGACTTGGCTGAAGAAACAAATAATAATAAATGTAGGAGGAGCAGCAGTGTTGGTCTATTTCAAAACTTCACGACATGTATTCTATTCAATGCGCTCAGAATTCTCCTTCTCCGCTAACCTGTGATCTGATCTCCCCAGTAACTTTAAACCAATAAACTATGCATTTATTCAATAATTCATCCATTCATTTAAAAAAAAAAACTCGAGATTATTTTGGTAATGAGGATTCATGTACAGGAGTGTGACTATGAATCCTTATTTTCATCCATTACCATTCTCTCATTCTGAAAATATCCTCATCTTTTTGTTAATTTCTTTTCCATCTATTATTAACAAAATGTGATTCGTTAATGATAATGCATATGTTTTTTATAAATAATTCTTTACCCTTGGAATTACGTGGAGATAGATAACCCTTTAGTTTTAGATCATGAACATATAAATCTCTTGAAATATCACGTTGTGTAATTAAAATAATGAACTCAGACCAAAAATAAAGAACGAATGAACTAATTAAATAAAATTTAAGACAATACATTATTAGAAGTCAAAATGTTATCTATTTATTTACCATCTAGGGTTGATCCAGCTTAATAAAAAAAAAAATCTCAACTTTGAATCTTAAAGAAGTTTTCTTTTTCCCTATAAAATCTGCATTGCCATTGTTACCTGGGCAGGACATTGCGAAACGAATAAAAGTGGAATCTTTCACCCTGGTCGGTGGTCACACTGCAATGCATGCAGGAGTGCACACTGCAATGCATGCAGGAGTGCCACTTTGTGTTGGTGATAGCTTCTGCTGCTTCCTCCACATCACGAATTAGCAAATCGCTGAAACTCCAACGGGCAAAGGCAAACAAAACAAGACCATGGCGAAAGAATTCAACACCCAAATAGAAGTGGCCGTTGGGTTGGAAATCCTTTGGCAAGCTTTGTCCAAGGATTTGTCACTCATCGTTCCAAAGGCAATCCCAGATATGGTGACCGACGTGCAAGTCAGTGAAGGAGACGGATGCCTTGGCACCGTCCTACTCTTTACCTTTGGCTCCAGTAAGTCATCCATCATATCCTGTGACTCCATCAACTTCTTTCTCATCCTCAATTACTACTGATTTTCTCGTACTGTATGTTGTTCTCACTGCAGTTGCATCCGCACCGGTGAGTTACCAAACGGAGAAAATCTCAGAGCTTGATTCCACTGCACATGAGATAGGGTTAGAGTTGTTTGAAGGTGGTCATCTAAATCATGTCTTGTCTTATTACAACACCAGTTTAAGCTATCACCGAAAGGAGAGCATCAAACTGTGGTTCATGTGAAGGTATCTTATGAATCTGACAATGAAGAAGCCACCGAGCTGATGGAGATCAAAGATTCCACTTTAAGCTTCGTCAGAGGCCTAGAAAAATATCTGATGAAAGGTGCCTGATCATTATTAGCCTTTTCTCATCTTCTGGAGGCTGGCTAGGTGCACTCCCTCTGTTTTTGGATCTCTCTCTTGAAGGATCACTCACCTACCTCCCAATAAAATTTTCTTAGCATGGCTATATTAGTCTTTTCCAGTTCGTGTGACTTGATGTCATGAAAATAATTGACTAATATTTCTGTTTCCTCGCTAATTGTTATCTCATTATACTTCAATATTTTATATTATGTTTTAATTAAATGATTTCATTAATATTCAAATGATTGCTATCAATTTTAGAATAATTTTAAACGAGTTTTAGTTCTTTATAATATATATCATAATTCACGTTTGAAATGAGACAAATTATGAAAGAGGCGAAAAACAAACATGCAGATAAGTTTATTCCGATAAACCTTCAAGTACAATTGTTTTTATCATACTCGATCCTTTGTAAAAACATGTATAAGGGTTTTATCCCCCCGTAAACATATATAAAATTTGCATAACACATCTAATACAAAAACTTACATTAACAATGTGAAAAAGTAAACAACCAACAGAGAAAGCAGCTTCTGCTCATTATTCAAGGAAACGTAGCGCACGTAGAAATATTCATTTCTTGCAGACAATCCCAAGACCGTAAGAGAACTTGGTACAGTCAAGAGTAGCAACCTCTACCACTGCATTATCGGCTTCCTTCTCAGCCGATGAATTTTCCTGCGAGTATAGGCATGACTCACACCTTGCAGAAAGCAACGAGGCTGTTCTATACTTTTCTTCGCCTCCCACCACTGGCATAGCCACACCAGGCTTCGCCGGGTTCTCAAAATCTGGCCTGTATGTCTTCCCGAGCACTCCGTCAACACCAGCAGACAGCTTCGTGAACCTGAATTGAACTTCCAAGTGGGCAAAGCAGTCATCTGAAGGCAGCTGGTAGTTATGAATCCTGTCGTCTTCCTTCGTCACTGGCACCACGTTCACGAGAATTTCAGCCAAGTCCTTTATCGTCACCATCACACTGTTCTTGCTCGCCACTCTCTCCACCTTGATGTCCTGTTCCGGAGAGTTCCATTTAGACAGGGAGCCTCCTGGGAGGAGAAGATCGTTGCCGTTATAGGTGAACTTTAGAAGGTCGACGTCGTCGATCCATTGTGCAGTCTTTCTGGCTTCGAGAGAGAAAGTCTGGGACTTGAAGAGGATGCCAAGGGCTTGGATCCAAGTGTAGTCCCGGCCTCGACCGGCAGGTCTGTGCCCGATGAAACGGGCGTTGATCTGAAGGTCGGAGTCGGTGACCAGGGCGAAGTGTTCGTTGCTCTTACCGTGGAAGTAGAACACCCTGCCGTCTCCGCCAATGAATCGAGGATCGTAGCATCCTGATCCAGGTGCGTTGCAGTTCGGTTTTCGTTCTGAAACACGACAAGAAGGAATCGATTAAGCTAATAATCTAGTGATGAGTGTTCGATTATGATAGAATCTTAACAGCAAGCTTGCGCAATGAGTTATGAAGAAGACAAGGTGAGAAAAGGCTTACTTCTGCAGACAGCCTTGCAAACAGGCTTGTCACAGTCAATGAAGCAAACCTTAGCCTGAGGATCTGAGGATTCGCTGCTGGGGCATTCAGAGGGGCACCTGATGTACTTTCCAGAGCATCTGGTTTTGTGACCACAGTAGAGAGCATAATAAGCCTGTGCTTGAATCAAACTCGAGACAAGCACCAGACTGATAATCAAGACGGAACTGCCTTTAGCGATCTCCATATCGTTTTCTCTGTGAATAGGATATGAAGAAACAGTTGATGATGCAGCAACCCATCTTGGCCTTCATTATATAGAGGTGTCATCAAGCGAGTTGCCTCTGAATTGGGAAGGAGGCTTTTGCAAACTTGTAATATAATCTAGTTGTGGCTCCAAGTGGAAGGAAGAACATGGGTTTCCCACATTGAATGAAGAAATTATAAAGGTTACATAGAGTTTCTTGTTGTAAAAGGGTACATGAAGATGGTTTCAGATATTAGGATTGAAGTGCGAAAGTTTTGGCAGCATATCTGGGTACCAGATATTAGTTCAAAGGTGGACAGGGACGCTTAGGGGGATGGCAAAGCGGGAAGCAGCTAAAGCCAATGATGCCTTGAGATGAAAACAACAATAATATAATTTGTTTAATATTTAAAGGGAAACACACTGACATGAAATTAAATTAAAAAAAAAAACTGATCGGACAGAATATGGGAGGCGTATAGGGGGGAAAAGGGCAAAGGAACATGGGCGAGTGTTCGTAGTTGAACTGACGAGGCTACATTGTCAACGGCAGATAAGGCCTCCCGGATGTGCGGGCCCAAATTGCGTTCTTTGCGCTGTGAGAACTGAGAAGCGACGTATAATTTCATCTCCATCTCAAGATAACATTATCTCAAAATATTATACAATTTTTTTAAAAAATAAAATTTTATTAATATATTTTTTAATATTACCTTTCAAGTAGAGAAATAATTGAAATAATATTATAACAGACCAAAATATAAGACATTGATGATTAATTCACAGTTTTAAAAAATATTAATTTAAATCTTAAATTTTTTAAAAAATTAAATACCCTATACAAGGGCCTTGATGATAATAATTAAAATTTTAATATATTTTTTAAAAGAGTAATAAATGAAGTAAAAATATAGTTAGAAAAATAATTATAAAACTTACACCATAACTTATATTTTGAATCAACTAAGATTTTTTAAAAATATCTTATATTGTAGTTCAGATGAAGTAATGATTAAGTATGTAATAATATTTTTAAAAGTTTATAACTTTATTTTTAAAAAAATAAGGTTGTAAAGTGTTATTATTGTGCTTTTATTGTTATATGTAATCTTATCTCAAATTATCTTATAATTTGAAAAAGGGTCAATATTTATGTTTCACTCACCAGTCTTGACATTCAGACATCAATTGCATTATACATAGATGCATATATATATGGAGTAAATTTTTGGTAAATCGATTTTCATTCACCATTTTTTTTTAAATTCCGTGTTTCATTTTTTTTCTTTTCTTTTTTTTTAAAAAAATGGATCCCCCAGCATGGTTGTATGTAAATGCTTCAGTTGTGCCTTACACACAAATCACGTATTTTTAGAAAAATTCTAAATACATAAACTAATCGAATATTCGAATCCATAGCGTAACCACACCCAATAAACCTGGATGAAAGGATTGAAAAAATTATTAATTATTTGTTTCAACAAATAAGCAATATGTTTTGATGATTCCATTTTCCTTTTATTAAACACAGGTATCTAAACTAAACCCATTGTCTTGGCCCGTTTTATCTGAGCTGTTATTTAATTTGGTCATCACCTTTTTGTTTTTTAATTACAAAACCACCGAAAAGTCCCTTGCTACACAAAACGCATTTTACAAGAATCTCTGCGATACATGCATAAACATGTCCTGGTGAGTAACATGAGCAGAATCAGCTGGATAATGTGAGCTTTTGGCGTGAAATACTCTTGCATCCACACTCTTAACAAAGAAAGCTGTCTAACGATAGCATGTTTGGGGTGGCATTTCCTCTGTTCCCCCAAAAAGCCATGTTGTTTGGGAGAGCCAAAACGCCACTCCAAACAAGTCCTAATGTTCAATGCTTATCATGCTGTGTCATGTTCCTTATATCTAATATTGTAAAGTTGGCCATAAAAAATGTTCGGTACATGCACTGGAGAATACAAAGATTGAATGAATGATAAACCCTGGCTTACTGGGTATTGGTATTTATGGTTAAAATCTATAAGGTAGATGCTAGACATTATTGAGAATCCTAAAAATTAAATTTTTAAGCACTCATGGAGATCAATTTGAGGAAAATAAGTCTTCGGAACTAATCTGTAACTGTAACTAAATATTTTAAATCAGAAATAAGAATTTAAAATCATGAAAACACATTATGATTAATTTTCTTAAAAAGTCGGGAGGCCAGTGTCCGATAAATAGGGAAGGATGTAAAAGGCCAAAGATAAAGAAGAAGAGATGGTGAAATCAAGAAAGACAGGAATAGAAGTGAGGGTTGGGCTGGAAAAGCTATGGCAAGTAATGTCAAAGCCCAAGGATTTGGCCGCCATATCAGCAAAGTTGGTGCCTGAGCAGATCATAGATATGCAGGTGGTTGAAGGAGATGGAGGCGTCGGCACCATCCTTCTCTACGTTCCTAGCTCCATCAGTAAGTTTTTTAATACATATGTTTCAGCTCACATGTAAATTGCTAGTATTGTTGCACTGAGTTGTTCTGTTCACAATCACAGGTGGATTATCGGATGCGAGTTATAAGGAGAAAATTGCAGAGCTTGACGCCACCAGACATGAGATAGGGTTCGAGTACGTGGAAGGTGGGTTTCTGAATCGAGGGTTCTCCTACTTCAAGATAGGCGCTCAGCTTTGCGCAAAAGGAGAGCATCGAACTGAGGTCAATCTGAAGATCTCTTATGAATCTGACAATGACGAAGAAACTACCCAGCAGCTGATCCAGAAAGCAGAGTCTGCTGCTTTCAACTTGTTAAGGAACCTTGAAAAATATCTGTCCAATGGTTTAGCCACTTCTTCTGACTGATCTCCCTGATGGTTTCATGCCCAGGTGTGATATGGATCATGCGTTTATTTTAGATTTTTGAAATTATTCTATTTGGATTATTTGAATATGGATGTTTAAAATATTTAGTAGCTTAATTAGTACTTAATTATATTTTCTTATCAATATATTTCTCATCATTATTTTACATTTTATTTATTTTCAATAAATCTATATTATCTTTGTTATCTTTGCCATTTTTAAACCAATAATAGTGTTGATATTGAAATAATTGATTAATCAATTAAGTATTAAAAACAATAACTCGTGCTTTTGATAATTATTTTTATTTAAAATAACAAAGACCGGTGATGATTAATTAAACTTCTTATTAGTTCAATCCAACCCAGTTAACTATATGGATATATTGATAAAGGAACATTAATTCTGTTAATTCTTTATTCATACTTATAAGAAAACATAGGGGTTAATACAAGAAGTTACGTTTCATTAGCATTGTGCAACCCAAACTAAAAAGGATCAGCTATATATTGTATGTTCAATATATTGCAAAAGCAGCTACACATTACGGCTGTTCACTTTAACCTCACTTCAGAATTTCTTTTTCTTTTTTCTTTTTCCTGTTCCTGACAGCACGAAGCATGAGATGGTTTTGAGTGATCATGATTTAAAATTTTTAGCTTATATTTTTTGTATAATTTTTTTTATAGAGTGGCAGTTATAAAAGAAGATTTTTATTTTAAATTATGTATCTATTAAGTTTAAAATAATAATTTATTAAAAATATAAAAATAAAATCATATTAAATTTGAATTGTCCTATTTAATTTTGATCCGAGTTCAGACTCATCCCACCGAAATTGATTCCTAGAAATATTAAACATTTCAGGTCCGTTTGGTTTTCCTCCATTTCACATTCAGAAAGCAAAATTTCACTTTCAGAAAGTTAAAAGTTGTTTGGGTAGAATATTTTGCAGAAAAGCACATTCTGAAAGTACATTCAAACAGTAACTGAAAGTGAATTTCTGAAACGTAACTATTTGAAACTTTTGAAAAGTGAATTTGAAAAGTAGGATGTTATTTGACCATACTACCCTAAGTTTAATATCTTATTTTTTTATTTAAAAAATAGTTAATTCATTAAAAATATAATTATTATTTTAATAATAATAATTAAGTATCAATTTTTTTAGTATTATAAATTGAGTGATTAATCATGTTAATTTTTAGTATTAATGTATAATAAAAATTAAAAATCTTTATTACATCTTTTAAAATTACAAATTAAAAAATACAAATAATTAGAGATCAAATTTTTAGCATTATAGATCAAAATTTATGTTATTTATAATTTTTATTATATTTTTTAAATATTTTGAATATATTACATTTGTATAATAAAAATTATAAATCATTATAAATCAATGTCCTTTTTGGTAATTGTACATTCAAAAGCACATCTCACTATCACAAACCAAACAACTTTTAATGTATCAAACTGACTTTTGAAAAAATATATTCAAACACAAATTTCATTACAACAACTGACTTTCATTAATCTGACTTTTACCAAATGAACTTTCACCAAATGAACTTTTAGCAAACTGAAAACCAAACGCACACTTCTTCCAGGCACAATTCCAGGGCCGTTTGAAATTTGATGCAGGCAACTGACATTTCTAATATATATCTATATATATATAGAGAGAGAGAGAGAGGGAGAGAGATAGAAAGTTAATTAAAGCTTAGACTTTTTGTGCCAGGTGCTTGATTGCATGATAATGTTAATGTATTGCAACTTAGGCCCTGTTTGGTACCAAGGAATGAGGGAGTGGGATTGGCATTGGCATTGATTAATTCCAAGTTTTTATGTTTGGTATAAGGAAATAAGGATTTTAATCCCAAACCCAAACCTATCTAAGTGGGATTACCTAATACCACCCACCCCCTTGGTACTGAAAAATCAATCCTGGGATTGATTATTTTTTGACAAAAATACCCTCTATCTCTCTTGTCTCTGTTGTCTCTCCCTCTATTCTCCACCCCTCGCCTCTCACATCTCCGCCACTACCATCCGTCGGCCTCCTCCATCGTGCTTTCCACAGCCACACACAGGCACAACGACGATGCTAGAACTAGGAAGATGAAGAACAAAGGCGACGTCGAAACTAGCAGATCTGGAGATATGGAATCGCGAGCCTAAATCATTCACCCAGATCTGGACTGCTCATTGGCCACCGTCGACGACGTAGAGACTCGAGTGAAGAACAGTTATGGGTAGCTAAGAAGGAATGAAGCTCTCACTCTCCAAGGCATTGATTTATCTGGTCTAAACCTTGCTGCATCCCTAGGTTTTAATATTTCTTACATCTATTTCGTTACCGAAGAGATGAGAATTTCTAGGAAATCATTTTAGAGCAGGAAATGGAATCCTCTTTTACTTCAATGTCTCTTTCCTTTTTAATTTCTTGAGTATGCTACTTTAACAATTTTTTAATTGCTAGCTTGGAATTACGTTTCTGTAACTACGCTAAGCCACGAGAAGTTAACTCCAATATTTAATAAGGAAGATGAGGAATTAATGTTCTGTAACTGCGTGAGGAATGAAGCTAAGGAGGAGGAAGATGAGAAAGATGGAGCAGATGTAGTTGAAGCCAAGAAGGAAAAAAATGAGGGTAGTTGAGTCTTTTAGCAAGTTTTTGTTGCCTATTATTTTTTTTAATCCCACATACTAAACAGGAATTTAAATTCTTATTTTTAGATTCAATTCCATTACCAATCTCATTCTCAATCTCACAAAATTCAATATTTTATATCAAATAGGGTTTTAGTGTGGTCACTGAATATTTCAGGTAAAAAAAAAAGGTCATTGAATATGATTCATTAACCATCACATCTTGAGTTTTTTTATTTTATTTTATTGGGGGGGGGGGGGGCCCTGAAATCATTATATCTGACTTACGCGCGCTTATGACGTTTGATGCGTTTGAATTTGATTGTCGCACCTCGGTCACGCATGCTAACAAGCAAGGACTCATTTGATTTTGTTTTTATTTTTTATTTTTAAAAACTGATTTGTATATTAATTTTTAAAAATTGTTTGTTAAAACAAAACATCATAAAATTTATTCGATTATGTCAATTTTAAAACAATTTTATAATTTAAAGAATGGTCAATAATAGCTGTCACTTGTCATTAATGGCGATGATTTATAATATTAATTTGTCATAATTAAAATTAATTTAAATTAATTAAGTGCAGTGTGCTTTAAAAATAAAAAAAATAAAAACATTTATAAGATATTTAATTTGAAAACATTTAAACTTAAGACACTTATCTAAACAATTTTTATGATTTTTTGTTTTTAAAAGTAGAAATAAAAATAGGCCCCAAATCTTCCTACACACTTAATGCATTGGATTTATGAACAAGAGATGAATTTTGGCACGTGGCTACCCGATTTATGGATTTAGATTCAATGAATGATTTAAGTCAATCATTTATAAGTCTAATCTTTCAAAAACTTAAAATTTGGTACTCTTTTAAATATTATATGATAAAATTTATGATAATTGTTGATTAAATAGAGGGATTGTACTTAATGTGTCATTTAAAACATTCATTGAGTGGTTTTAAGTTACTCAACAGATCCAAATCCTATAATCAATGCACTAGAAAATATAAAGATTGAATGAAGTGAATGAATGGAATCATGGCTATTAGTATTTATGGAGAAATATGGAGAAAATCTTCAAGAGGAAGATGTTAAACATAAATGAGAAGCGTAAAATTAATTTTTATGCATTCATGAAACTCAATTGTATTTCTTCTAAGCGATGAGGCATTTGGATTATTTACTGAAATTTGTTTCCCTCTAGAATTAGAGCCTTGTAATTCCGAGAAATATTTTAGGAAAAATCATTGGCACTAGTTTGTAACTATTTAATTAAATTACAAAAATAAAATTGTAATTTAATTTGAAATTAACACAGAGAGTAATACTCTCTCCAATCCTTTTTAACTTGAAAAGATTTTTTGGTTAGTAAAATAAGGTACTTAAAAGAGTATTAATTTTATTTTTTCAATATTACCACTATTCAAAATCATTAATACAAATTTTAAAAATTTTCATTTAAACAGTGATAGAGTTAGAAATTTATTTTATTTTTAAATAAAAATTAATGACTTTATCATATCTACTTAGTTTTGACGAGACAATTAAATGTGCCTCATAATAAAAATTAGAGGTAGTACACGACTACATATTTACATTGAGTATCCATTAACATTATGGTGGACATTTTTCAAAATCAATAAATGTTGATGTATTTGGTAGACAAGAACTTTACTACACTTAATACCTTGGATTCATGAATGGGGGTAATGAGATACAATGATTCATGAAAGACATAATTAGATTATCTGAATATTAGGAGGTCATTGACCTCCACAAACTAATTTGCAACTATTTTAATTCAAAAATGAAAAAATTTAAAATCATGAAAGTTATTATTATATTCTTAAAAAGACGCGGGGCAAACATCCTATAAATAGGAAGGTCTCTAAAACCCCGAAGATAAGCAAAGAAAGACAAGATGGCGAAAGAAGAGAAGGCACAGACTGAAGTGAGCATTGGGCTGGAAAAGCTATGGCAAGTGATGTCAAAGCCCAAGGATCTGGCCGCCATAATGCCGGAGATAGTGCCGGAGCAGGTCAAAGAAGTCCAAGTGATTCAAGGAGACGGCGGCGTCGGCACAGTCCTTTTTACCACTCCTTGGTCCATATTACGTAATTCCAAAATACCACTCTCTGACTGATTTCAGTTTTTAATCCTCACATTTAATTTTAATCAGTATTGTTTAATTTTCTTGCACGACCACGCACAGCCGGATCCTCTGGGGCGAGTTATAAGGAGAAAATTGCAGAGCTTGACGGCACCGCACATGTGATAGCGTTTGAGTACGTTGAAGGTGGATTTCTGGATCGAGGTTTCACTTACTTCAAGACGACCATTCAGCTATCTGCAAAAGGAGAGGGCCAGACTCTGGTGGATGTGAAGATCTCTTATGAATCTGACATTGATGAAGAATCCACCCAGCGGCTCACCAAGACCGCTGTGACTTCTGCTTTGAACTTCTTGAGCGGCCTTGAAAAACGTCTCTCCGATGCCGCCTGATGATGATCAGTGGCCATTTCTTCTGATGAAGCTTTGCTGTTAGTTTCATGCCCCAACAAGTGACCTAACATGTCACCTGCCTCCCAATAAAATTCCCTTTTCACCGTACTAATGTGTTAAGCGCTCTCTTATTTCACAGATGTTAATGTGATTTGAGGGAGGCTGTTTTATATATATCTATTTTATATGTTCCATTGCCATTCTTTTGACAAATATAATAGCGTTGATATTAAGATGACGAATTAATGAATTGAATTAAAAACAAGTATATTACCTCTACTTTTAATATTTATTTTTTAAAAAATAATACAAACCGGTGAGATACATGATTAAAGCCTATGTGTGTGTACTATAAATGTATTCAAATTATTAACTGCTCTAATTTTTTAATAAAAGAATTACAGCTTTGAAAAATGAATTTGAATTTGGTTGAGTGGTCTAACTTAACTCATTGAATGAATGTCTTAATTGTAATATTTGAATTTCATCAATGCTCAAATATTATTAAGATATATATATTTTCTTTCAAAAATTCAAAACAATCACTATCATGATACTCCTTCTGTCTTTATATATAAAAAATTTTTTAAAACCTTTTTTGTCTTTAAATATAAGCAAATGTTAACATATTTTTTAATGAATGAACTATTATACCCTTATTAAATTAGAAAGAAAAAAAGATAAATACCCTCATTAATTTACTTTAAAAAAAGAGATTTATTTTTTATTTATAATAATTAGGAAAAAAATTAGAATATTGCTGTGCTTTTAATTAAATGACTAACTTTTATTTATTTGTATGATTCAGTTAAAAACATCTTATATATAGGGATAGAGAGAGTAATATTCTTTATCCCTTCAAAATTTGAGATTTAATATTTTCTTAATATTATATAACAAAGTATATAATAGCCATTTGATTACATTAAACGATTGTTATTGTGCTAAGTTAAACATCCATTGATTGATGAGTAGATTTAGATCACTTGGTGGATCCAAATTCCTTTAAAATAATTAAGTTATTCTAGACTTCACAATGGTTTTTTGGGAGAATTGCATCTAAGGACTTTCCAAAAAAAATTATTTATAAAGAAGGATCAATAACAAGTCACTGTCCAAGAAAAACAAGTTCCTGTCACCATTTTAATAATAAATAATTTCATATTGATTCTTGTTTGTAAATAATTCTATTAAAAGGTCTTTGAATGTAATTCTCCCTAAAAAAAAAATTAACAATCTACACGGAACAAAATCACCATGACCGATTGAGAGAACAAGCTAGTGTTGTCACGATGAACATGAGCCTTTACACTCAGAAATAATCTGTAACTGCTCTTACATCATTTTTTGAATTGCCTAATAAGAAATTTAATTTAATGTTTTATTCCTAAAATGTTTTCTTCTTTTTGGGTCACTGACATTCTAACAACTGGTGGGCTAAATCTCAAATTATTCACGTATCAATTTCTCCAGGGAGTACAATGAATAAAAGGGTATATACACACCTCTCTCAACAAATAAAAGAATATTAATACTTTTTTGTTTCATACAAATATTACAGATCAAATGCAAGAAGTTACATTAAATTAGTATTGTGTGATACCCAGCAAGAAAGAATGATCAGGTAGCAGTGATTAGGAAGACTTGTGGTAGTCATGAATCCTGCCCGCACCAGAATGAACCATATTCCACAGACTTCCTGCCACGTACTTTATTGCATGGCAATGTATTGCAATTTGTTTGCTTACCAGTCGGTGGATCTGATTACCTTTCTGACTTGTACAGTTATGCGTATAACTTTTTTTTTTTTTGTGTGGAAATGGATAATTTCATTCAAAAAATCAACCAATAGTCGAATACAATTCAACGCTTACAGTTACAGAGGGAACCAAAAAGAGAAATTAAGCAGCATGATTGACCAATCGATCGACAAGGCAGAAGCTAGCTGGAGAAGATTTTTGGCGAATGGTATGCGACGTGGTTTACTATAGCTTCCGTGGCCCTGCTGAATCCTGATAATGTCCTCTGGTCTGTATGATTCTTCTGCAAAAAGCCTTTTGTACTTTACAAATACTTTCATCAATACAAAGTGAAATCCCAACGTGTTTTTTCCCTACCTGGGCTTTAATAACTACTATTGATATTGATGCTTCGTGGGCATTCAATAATTTGTGCATATTTGGAGATTCCCAATTATTTATATTCCGATTGAGTGAGACATTGAGGTTTAATTACCTCGGATATGTGTTCAGATTCTTTGCCAATAAATGCTTTATATTCATACCGGTGATTTCAAATCACTCATATCTGAAGTAATAATTAAATTTTCTTCTTTAGAAAATTTTTAAAATAGATTTTGAACCTAAATTAGCTGTACATTCAGATTTATTTAAAAGTGTTTCCTCTAAGGCTTCAAACTTTGTAACTAAAATCCAAAGCATACCTCAAATAATTTAGGGAAAAATCATTGCCATTAATTTTATAAATATTTTCTCAAAAAATAATAATGAAAAAATAATTTCGAATCACCAAACTAACAAAAAATATATAAATTGGGCTCTCTCTCTCTCTCTTTCTATATATATATATATATGGAGGAAAGCAAAGTCTCTGTGGCTATAACCCGTAAAAAGAAGAAAGACGATGGTGAAAGAATTCAACACTCAAACGGAAGTGAGCGTTGGGCTAGAAATCCTATGGCAAGCTCTGTCCAAGGATTTGGCCGCTATAGCTCCAAAGGTAAACCCTCAGCTTGTCAAAGAGGTACAGATGATTGAAGGAGATGGAGGCGTCGGCACAATCCTTCTTTTCACTCTTTGCTCTAGTAAGTAATTATAATTGGCAAATGCGTGTCATGGATGAGTTTAATTCCGATCTTTATTTAGTTCTAATTTTCTTGCACCGAGATTTCACAGGTGGATCCACAGTAGGTTATCAGAAGGAGAAAATTTCAGAGCTTGACGCTGTTTCACGTGAGATTGGAATCGAGGTGGTTGAAGGTGGATATCTGAATCGAGGTTTCTCCTACTTCAAGACGCGCTTTCAGCTATCTGCAAAAGCAGAGGATCAAACTGTGGTCGATGTGAAGATTTATTATGAATCTGAAAATGAAGAAATCAGCGACCAAATTAAGACAGCAGAGTCCACCTACTTTCACTTCTTCAGGAAGCTAGAAAAATATCTGTTCAATAGTGCTTGAATATTATTATTGCCCATTTCTCAAAGCTTTGTTTTGTGTATGTGTGCTTTGTGGGTACTGTTTCTCTCTTAATATACTCCAATATCTCTTCTACTTGCTTCTCTGTTTCTGTTTAATATAGTATCAGAGTTTGTCTCTAACGGGGAAGCATCGATTCATTTGTTAATTTCAAAATTAGTTTGGAGATTGACAGATAGAACCGACAATAAAAAAATGTGAATCATCCACCGTCGACGTATGCTAGAGATCAAGATTTTGGAAACTTGATGGGAGTTGAATATGGCAGCGTTAAGAAAGATTTAGGAGTTTCTGCTTCGTCGAAATATATCTGGAACCAGAGGTCAGTATCTGGAATCTTGGAAGCTTTGCTCGCTTTGAAGCTTCCATGCTCCTTGCGCGTGGCTTGCGAGATCCCAGATCTAGTTACTTTTCTTCTGATTGAAAGAAAAATTAGCGCCGCAGAGAAGGAGATGGAGAATGTTCTAGGGAAAAGCGAAGAGAGAAATTCACTTATGCGTCCGCGTCAAGGTTTTAAAAATTAAAACGGTCATTGAATTGATTGAGTTAAAGGCTCACGGTTCAATAATTAAATTAGAGTTAAATTGAAGTTAGATTGTTTATAATTAAATTATTATATTAAAAATTTTATATATTAAATATTATATTATAAGTAATATCTTAAAAATATGTTATAAAATGAGATTTTATGAATGTTTACACTTTTTTAATGAAATACCATTTAAGTAGTGTATAATATTTAAAAAGAATTATTATCTATTGACAGTAAAAAAGTATTATAAGATAAATGAAATTGAAAGCTAAGAGGGCGAACATATTCAATGTTCATTAATAAATATCAATTGCATAAAAAAATAACAAACTATAATGTATTCTTAGGAGACTTATTAAAACTAAATTTAAAATATAAAAATATAGACAAATAATTAGAAGTATAAAAATTAAATATTTGTATTTATATTATAAAAATAGTTTAAAGATTAAGTAAAATGAGTTAATAAATATTAATGAGAATGAAGAAGGAAAAGTCAGCCTTTGTTTCATATTATGAGTTAGAGGAAGTGTATTTTTTAAAAAAATAAATGATATTTAATTGATTTTAATGATATTCACAATTGAATATGGGTAGAACTTTATTACATCAATTGAACATATTCAGCGTGGGTTTGTTATCGTTGGTCTATATATATTTTTTAATAAATAGATTAAATTGTATTTTTTATATTTTTTTGAAGAGTATTGAGCATTCTATATTAATAAATAAGGTATTTTTTTAAAATTATTTTTTAGAAGAGCACAAATTTTTTTTATTAATGATCCGTTAATTCTATCATTTTTTTTGTTGACGTGTCATGTTCTTCACTATTAATTTGCTTTTGAATTCTTTTTCTAAGAGTGACCCTATGAGATTTTCTTAAAATAAAATTAATCAATATTAATTTTTTAAAAGATTATTTTCTTAATAAATATTAAATATTTTAAAAATATTTAGTAAATTTTATTTTTACAAAATTTCATGTGCCCAACACTCCTAAAAAAATAATTTAGGAATAAATTAGTGTCAAAAGATATGCCATTTCAATAAAAAATAATAAAGTTAATGAATCATTCATGAAGAATATTTTTGTTCATATGAAAAATGGTTTACCAAAAAAAAAAAAGTCTCGTTTATTAGTACAAAGTGCTCAACACTCTCAAAGGAAAATATAGGAAAAGAATGTACTTTAACCCATTACCCAAAACTACAAAAACCAATACTTTCTTCATCTCAAATTATAATATAATGTGAGACAGGATTATGTATATCAATAAAACACAGTAAAAAACCTTGACCAACTTACCTTTTTAAGATGAAATTATAAATTTTTAAAAATATCCCAACACAATTAATCACTGCTTCACGAGCACATTATAAGGTGTTTTATAAAATTCTTGCTTGATTTAAAATATAGGACATTTAATAATTTTTATATTTATTTTTTAAGTATACCCCTGCTTCACTTATTACTCTTTTTTTTAAATATGTATTAAAATTTTAATTATTAATATTAAGGCTCTTATGTAGGGTATTTAATAAGGGTATAAATAAAATATATGGCTATTTTTATAAATTTAATGTTTCAACTAATATTATTCATAAACCATAAATTAGTTAATTATGACTTATATTGTAATTCATAAGAATTATGGTACAATATCATTTAATTCTTTTTCAATTTAAATGATAATATTAAAATAATATTATTAATAAAAACTTAATTTTTTAAAAATTATTTTATATTTTAAAACAAAAAATTTATTTAATGTTATTTTATAATTTGAGACGGTGGAATACAATCTGTAAGGAGGAAAGACATATCAATCACTATCCGCCTCCTTCTGAATCTGGAAAAAAAAAGGACGTAGGGAACGATAAAAATGCAAGATGCACGCTCAGAAATACGAGTTTTCCTAGTAAAAAAGTTAGCTTTACAAATTACATCTCAATAGACAAAATTAATTGAAACAAACCAATCCTTTTGATGTACTCTCTCCATTTTTTATTATTAAAAAAATTATTATTTTGACTTATATTTTTTTATAAACAAAATTATTTATTTTAATAAATATTAATTATATATTTTTTAAATTACTCTTCCTAATTTAAATTAACAAAAAAACTATTAATATACATTTATGTTGATTAATATAGGATATTTTGATTTACTTATTTTATTTTCAGACATAATTATTATAATTAATTAATTTTTTAAAATTACATGATATAATTTTTTATATATACTCCCTCTGATCTTATTTATAAATTATTTTTGTTAATCTTATCAATATCAATATAATAATAGTATAAAAAATAAAATTTAATAAAATTACAAATATAATCATTAAAAAGTAAATAAATTATATAATATTATTTTTTATTTTCCTTTCTTTTATCTTTTAAGAATAACTTAAATATTATATTTAAAATAAAATATTATTATTAATTTAAGAATTTATAAAGTAAACCTTCACATTTTAAAAGATGATTAATAAAGTAAATTGGAGGAAGTATAAATGGAGGGAATATCTTTTAAAATTGTCAGCTTTCCCTGTGGTCTTTACGTTTTCAAACATTATCCTTTACCATTGATTCATTGAACCCAATGCCTCTATATTGTCTGTTGTCGGCTCTGGGCGCTGGCTGCTATATTTTGCGTCTCTCTCTGTCAATCGTTTAATGGCCAATAAAAGAATCAGCTGCCCTCCTCGCAATAAATAGTCAAATTAGCATGGACACTAGTAATTTCAACCCCCGAATAATATTGCAGCATTCTGACATGGCATGGCGGTAAACTTTCCTTGTAAACAAGAGGCTATGGATTCCAATCGCAAATTTAAATAACTTCATGATAGCGATGTACATTTAAAATATAGATTCAGACCATAAACTTATAAAAATTTATCTCTATTAATAAATAATTTTTTAAAATACATGATTAAATAATTAAAATATAAAATATAATCATAATATATTTTAAATATAGATTATTAAAATTAAATATATTTACATTTATAAATTATCATACACAATATAGAAAATTTAAAATATAATAACTTATTTTTAATATTTTTTTATTAACATTAATTTTTTATTTTGTTGTTTTATTTTTTATTAAACCAAATCCCACCGCTTCATGAATCTAGTTCTACATAGTATATATCTATCTTGCTCAATGAGTTTATGAGCAAATTGATATAATTTTATAAGTTATAAATATAAAAATAATAAATTTAAAGAATCAACTTGCAAGTTTAAATAAATTTATGGGCTAGTTAATATGATCTTATAAGTTAAAAATATAAAAATAATAAACTTACAGAGTTAAGTTAAGAGTTTGATAATAATGATTCCACCCCTCTTATAATTTCATGTCATTAATACCTATTCTTCTAATTTTTTGAAAAAAGGTCTTGATATTGATAGATAAAATAAAAAAGGGTCAATCTACATACTCTCTCTATTTTTATTATGAGAGAAACTTTATATTATTTTGTATAAGCAAAAGTATATAATTTAAGAATTCCTTGTATTTTTTAAATTGACTCCTATAAATGAATAATATATTGAATTAGAGAAAAAGTAAACATCAATTATAAGAATATTTTAATCTAAGTATTTTAATTTTAAAAATAATTATTAGAATTACCCATATGTGAGAGAATTAAAATTTGATTATATTTAAAAGTTACTCCCTTTTATCACGTTTGTAAGATACTTTTAAAAAATAATTTTTAATCTAAAATATTGAATACATTGTAATTATTAAAATATTTTTTTAATATTTTCTTACTTAGTTAAAAAATATTTAATATAATTATATTATAACTTAAAATTAAGAGTAAAAATGAAGAGCTCTTCACACGGAGGACTCCGGGAAACCGACAAAAAGGGGACCTTCCGAAGTCCCAGAGCCTACATCAGAAAGATCGCTGGGGCTATATACCATTAGCTTCTATTTCCTTTCCTTGATGTATACGAAACAAATCTCAAAAAGTCGAACGATAAACACCACGATGGTGAAGGAGTTCAACACCCAAACAGTAGTGAGCGTGGGGCTTGAAATCTTTTGGCAAGCTCTGGCCAAGGACTTCATCGTCATCGTTCCAAAGGTACTTCCACAGCACGTGAAAGACGTGCAAGTGCTTGAAGGAGACGGAGGCCTCGGCACAGTCCTCAACTTCAACTTTTGTTCCGGTGAGCCATCAACTGCTCTGAATCAAGTTAATTGGTTCATTAATTCTGATCTTTAACTAGCTGAGGTGTTTTACAGATGCATCAACAGGAAGTTACCAGAAAGAGAGAATTTCAGAGCTTGATTGGAGTTCATATGAGATAGGGTTGGAAGTGATTGAAGGTGGCCATCTGAATCGTGGTTTCTCGTTCTACAAGACAAGCTTTCTGCTAGCTGCAAAAGGACCTGATCAGACTGAGGTCAACGTGAAGATAAGTTATGAAGCTGAGAACGAAGATGTGAAATCAGCAGAGCCCACCTTATTCTACATTAGGAGCCTGGAAAATTATCTGTTACATGATTCGTAAACGTTTCGGGCCATTTCTTCTGGAGGCTATCTGGGTCCCTCTAGTTTCCGCAGCTGTGTGTTAGTAGCTTGATCTTGTTTTGACTTTCCTGGTAGAATCTGTTAGTTTCATCTTTAATGGCCAATAAATGAACAAGAAGCTAATACCAGTCGGCCTCCCCGTAAAACTTGTCTTATTGCGTGGCTGTGTAGCCTTTGTCTTCTTCTAGATCATGTGATTTGATGGGAAATAACATCCGTATTTTGTTCCAAAATTGTTATCTAGGCAGGTCTATATTTTTATAAAAATAATACTGAATTCCATAATATACCAATTAAAATTAGGGTGTGACTAGAGACTTTCATCATTTAAGCATTTGGTTGGGATTAAAGTTCAAACTTTTTTTTATATATACTAATTTAGTTAAAAGATATCTACTATTTATTCTTATTACTTTAAGAAAGATAATCTCCATGTATTGTCAGCTACAAAGCCTACTCTTTATACTATAAACAAATGAATTCCATTAATATTGACAAGATTAAATTTTGCATTCGAGTTAAGTTTCCGTAGTGTTTTTGACGTTACTTTTATTTTAAAAAACTAACAAAAGCGGTGATAATTCAAAGCATTTGTTAAGAGTTCCTTTCAGCTACAGTCCAAAAGTTCTCCCAAATTCAAATACTGTTTCATGTTACCAAGGGCTAGATATTTTGGGGTGTCTCACACACACACACACACACACACACATACACACACCTTTTTTTTGGGCCAGGTATACATTTTATTTTCTGTATATTAATTTTTGGATTTCTTAAAGACATTATATGTGTCTTAGATTGACATGTTCTAATATGGGAAAATGCATCCCTAAAGAACAAGCTGTTTTGATGAAAGGCCTGATCAATAAGAGCGGAGAGCATCTATGACTTTTTGAGGGATATCTTTTAAAAAAAATCAAAATATTTCAATGCCAAAAATAATTTATTCAAAACCTCTATTTTTGTTTTGTCGTTTCTTAGAGACTGAGTTCCATTATATTTATAATTATAGCGATTCTTAGCGTAGAATGATAAACTCGAACATCATATTCTTTCCCCCCTAAATTTTGATAATTTGTTCGGTCAAGATGCCCCTCCCAATATAATCTTATTTTTGCATAAAGTTGAAAAGAAACTTTATTTAAGTGAGTTGAGTATTAATTCCACCACCATCCAATTATTGTTAGTGGCAGACTCGAAATCCAACTATCCTTTCAGGTTAAAAAAAAAAAAAATCAACTAACCCATTTATAAGAGGGAATATTTTGAATATTCTTGAATTCATATTATATATATTGTATAAAATTGATAGGATCATATTCGGTAAAAAAATAATTTCATTATGAAAATCAATTCTATTAATGCATAGACGGATGTAAGGAGGCTTTCTATTTTTGATTATAATCGCGGGGTGGAAAAGCTGACTGCGGTTAATAAAAGAGCGAAAGCGATGGAATTATAGGGTAGGGAGGACTTGAAAATGAGTTATTCTAGTCCTCCATGAGACTGCAACATCATAGAAGTATATTATAAATACAGCATGACAAAATTCCGACAACTGAGTTGGCTATTAAACAAACATTATTTTAGTCTTTTTCATTTTTTTATTACTAAAACGCTCCATCGAGAAGCGGAAGCCCAATAGATTAAAAAAAAAAAACATGCAATAGTTTATTCAAATAACTGAACATATGACCTTCATAACAAATGAAATTGAAGAACTCCCATCAACGTAGTGCAAACAGTAAAGTCGCAACCCTCAAGCCAACAAATTACCAAAAAAAATAAAATCACTTCAACCCAAATCCGACTGACTTTATTGTTTTCTCACTGTACGCCACATGCACTATTTATTTCTTGCAGACAATTCCAAGCCATAGGAGAACTTGGTGCAGTCAAGAGCAGCATACTCTGCTTCTGCACTATCAACTTCCTTCTCAGCCGATGAGTTTTCCTGCGAGTACAGGCATGACTCACACCTTGCAGAAAGCAACGAGGCTGTTCTATACCTTTCTTCGCCTCCCACCACTGGCATAGCCACACCAGGCTTCGCCGGGTTCTCAAAATCTGGCCTGTATGTCTTCCCGAGCACTCCGTCAACACCAGCAGACAGCTTCGTGAACCTGAATTGAACTTCCAAGTGGGCAAAGCAGTCATCTGAAGGCAGCTGGTAGTTATGAATCCTGTCGTCTTCCTTCGTCACTGGCACCACGTTCACGAGAATTTCAGCCACGTCCTTTATCGTCACCATCACACTGTTCTTGCTCGCCACTCTCTCCACCTTGACGTCCTGTTCCGAAGAGTTCCATTTAGACAGGGAGCCTTCCGGAACGAGTAGATCGTTGCCGTTGTAGGTGAACTTTAGAAGGTCGACGTCGTCGTTCCATTGTGCAGTCTTGCTGGCTTCGAGCGAGAAAGTCTGGGACTTGAAGAGGATGCCAAGGGCTTGGATCCAAGTGTAGTCACGTCCTCGACCGGCAGGTCTGTGTCCGATGAAGCGGGCGTTGATCTGAAGGTCGGGGTCGGAGACCAGGGCGAAGTGTTCGTTGCTCTTACCGTGGAAGTAGAACACCCTGCCGTCTCCGCCAATGAATCGAGGATCGTAGCATCCTGATCCAGGTGCGTTGCAGTTCGGTTTTCGTTCTGAAACACGAAAACAAGAAATCGATTAGTTCAAGAATCCAGTGATGAGTTTTCGATTGTGATAGAATCTTAAAAGCAAGTTTGCGCAATAAGTTATGAAGAAGAGGACAAGGTGAAAGAGGCTTACTTCTGCAGACAGCCTTGCAAACAGGTTTGTCACAGTCAATGAAGCAAACCTTAGCCTGAGGATCAGATGATTCGCTGCTGGGGCATTCAGAGGGACATCTGATGTACTTCCCAGAGCATCTGGTTTTGTGACGACAGTAGAGAGCATAATAAGCCTGTGCTTGGATCAAACTCGAGACAAGCACCAGACTGATAATCAAGATGGAACTGCTTTTAGCGATCTCCATATCGTGTTCCCCGTGAATATAGGATATGAAGAAACAGTTGATGATGCGGCAACCGAAACTTGCCCTGCATTATATAAAGGTATCGTCAGATGGCTTACTTCTGCATTGTGAAGGAGGCTTTTGCAAACTTGTAATGTAATTCAGTGGTGGCTCAAACTGGAAGTATGAACATGGGTTTCCCTGATTGAAAGTAGAATTAAAAAGGGACTGATACATGCATACAGTTTATTCTTGTATATATAGAAGGGTACATGAAGGTGATGTAATTAGATGGATCGAAGATGTATTGGCATGATTTCCGGGAAAAACAGATATAGCCAAATCAGTTTTCCGTTGGGACAGGCATGCTTATGGGGATGGCAAGCTTCTAATATGTTGATGATACCTTGGTATGAAAACAACAATAATAGAACGCGCGTCCTTCGTTTAATGTATAATAATACTAATAATAGCTAATAGAATTTGGGAGGCGTGAAGAGGGAAAAAGGAAGGAGACCATGGGTCTGATGGTGTTGGTAATCGAACAAGCCATGCCGACCCATGTTACATATGAAGAATACACCTTTATTCCCTCACAAGTGACATTTAGAGTTAAATTACATGAAGCATAGTCTGTATATATATTTTTGATGAATTCTACATACATAAATTAATCTAATCCATATTCCATTGTTTAACCACACCCAATGAACATGGGCGCGTGTATCAATTAAATTTATATATAACATTATTTATTTCAATGAATGAGTCATTCTTGACTCAGGATGTTTAGTTGTTTACAACGAATCTTATTTTTTTTTTTTTTAAGTGACTTTCCGATGAATCTTCAATCAACAGCAATTCTTGAATAACCATAAAAGGCCCAAGAAGTTCAGCCCATTGACTTGGTCCGGTTTTAATCATCATTTTTTAAGTTTCAAAGTAAGCAAGCAAAAGGCCCATCAGGGACGCATTACAGGTGTGTCTATACACTCCGAAGGAATCGAATGATGGCAAAAATTAGAGTCGAGAATTCGGGCAGGCCGAATCTATTCAGGCTCAGCTTGAATAGGTCCAAACTCGAATAAGTCTGTGTCCTTAAAAAGTCCGAATAGCTAAGCCCGGCCCGAATTCTTTCGGGCTTCCCGAATACCTGAATTTAATTTTTAAAATTATTTTAATTATTTTTTACTTTGAAATTATTATTTTATTTTATAAAAAATATCGATGTCTAGGACTCAAATATATGGTATTTGTATAAAATGATCTAAATTTAAAGAATTATAATATTATTTTTTATTCGGGTATTCGGGCCTACCCGAACATAAAAAAACCTTTTTTTTAAGTTTGACCCTAAAATTTTTTGGGCCAATGAGGTTAGCCCGTCGGGCTTAGGTCGAATTACTGGCTCTAGCAAAAATTCAAGTCAAGTACCATTTAGTTTGATGGTATGAACTTTCCTTTAAAATAAAGAGTTGTGGGTTTATCCCCATTGGTCCAAAAAATAGGTGGAGATTTATGTTAGATGAGTGTGACTGTGTGTGGAGAGATTAGTTAGTAGCGTGCACTGTGCTGTGTGGGTGAATGTTGCATTATATGTATGTGAAACCTCTTTCTCTATGGAGAAGGGTTGGATAGATTAATATTTTTTTTTTAAAAAAAAAGATAACAAAATCCCTGTACAGTGTCAGTGAGCTTCTGGATAGTCTATCAACGACACTTAAATTATCAAGTCTCAAGTAGAATACTCTCGCGTACATATTCATTGAACATATCTCTAACCGAGTAAAATATTCAATGCATTTTATATATGTTGGCCAAAAGAACAAAAAAATCATTTAAGATCTTTTGATCACATTTAATTAAAAAAAAGTTCTTAAATTCTGAAACTTCACTTCAGATTAGAGATGGTAAAATGAAATTAAAATAAGGAAAATAATAAAATTAATTTTCTTTTAAACTAAAAAAAATTGTTTACTTTTCCTTCACCCTCTTGAGGAGCGTACGATTATATTTTTAGTAGGGGTTTCACACGAAAACTTCTAGTTTTATGAGCGTCGTAAAATCTTGCGCCTTCACTTTTCTTGAGTTTTCTCTTCCTTGTCGACTCTTCCTTAATCATTGTCACCTTAATCTCCTTTTTTTTTTTTCCAGTTCTGAAAATAAAAAGGTTCTTGTTTCTTTTTTCCAGTTCTAAAAAACAAAAAAGCTTTCCTTGTACTCAATATCATCGTCACTGAAACTCTATTGTTCTCTTATTGCCAAAAGTATATTTGCTCTATGAGTTTTCGAAATTTAGTTGCAGGTAGGAATATAAACAACTCCTCAATAAACAACTTTTGTAGAGTTGTAGAGAAATTAACAACTTCTATATAGGCATCAAGCAACTCGTTTTACCATGATAAGCCGCTGAATAAAATCAAGTGAACACATGTAGACAAACAACTTTTATAAATCAATAAACAACTTCATATAAAAAAAGAACAACTTTAATATGAGACAATGAATAGCTTATTTTATCATGATTACAACATTTGAAAGAAAATTAAAATTCAATAATGATACAAACAATTCTTATAGATTAATGAACAACTTCAACATAGGTAATAAATGTCGAACATTACTCTATCCAAAAATAAATATTCAACGTATATATCTTATATATGTCGGAAAAAAAAATAGAAAAGTCTTGTACATATTTACAGAATATATCAGTGTATATGTAGAAAATCTCCAAGATAGATGCTAAACATTAATGAGAATCCTAAAATTAACTCTTCTTTTGCATTTATGTAAATGAATAATTTTTTTCCCCTAAAGTGAATGAGACATTTGGATTTTTTGAATTTTGTTTTCATTTCGAAGAAAAGCCCAGTAATTGTGTCATCAAAGACACAAAGTTATTATTTTCATAAAAAGATCAGGGGCCAGCATACTATAAATATGAAAGTCTCTGAAACGCCTAGGATAAACAAAGACGTACGAGATTGGGAAAGAAATCAAGGCAGAGACAGAAGTGAGGGTTGGGCTGGAAATCCTATGGCAAGCTGTGTCCAAGGATTTCAGCGTCATAATTCCAAAGGTATTCCCAGATGTGAAAGAAATGCAAGTGATTGAAGGAGACGGAGGCGTTGGCACCATCCTTCTCATCACTCGTCATTGCTCCAGTAAGCAAGTTATAAATTCATTTAGTTGATACTAATTAATCTTCTAGAACTGAATTGTTCACAATTAATTAACCACACAGGTGGATCTGGGGTACGTTATCAGAAGGAGAGAATATCAGAGCTGGATGCCACAGCACACGAGATTGGGTTTGAGTACGTTCAAGCAGGGTTTCTGAATGAAGGATTCTCCTACTATAAAGGAAGCCTGCAGCTATCTGCAAAAGGAGAGCATCAGACTGTGGTCATTTCGAAGGTTTGTTATTATGAACTTGAAAATGAAGAAGGCAGCACCGAAAAGCTTAAGACAGTAGAGCCTGCTGGTTTAAACTTCTTAAGGAGCCTTGCAAAGCATCTCTCCAATGGTGCCTGATGATCATTATTGGCCATTTCTCGTGGATCCACCTCCCTCTTGGTTTCATGCCCAAATAAGTGAATATCATGTCACCCACCTCCCAATACAATTTCTTCTTCTCCATTAACTCTATTTTACTGATGATGCTATCAGAGGGGCATCATTTAATTAATGCGCTTCAATTAACCAGCTAAATATGATATATATTATATAAATGTATCAAAATAATTAATGCTAAACTTTTTAAAGGGTTAATTATTCATGAAATTCTAGTTAGAAATGACTACTTATTGAAGAAACGCAAGACGACTTCATAAGAACATACATTCGAAAATTGCGCGCGCGCGCGCACACATAGATATATTAGCAAACAAAGTCAATTTTACTAAAGAACACGCGAATAGTTAATTTAATCTTTTTATATGAACATGGAGGACACATCCGGGATGCAAAATCTGATATGGACCTCTCTTTTTTTCCGGCCTGAAGGTATGGATGGACCTTGATAAAAACATGAGAATGAATAGTTGCTTTGTGGTTCTGGATGCAAGTGCAGAATTTTGCAATTTTTCAAAGAAAAAAAGGGTTATATTTTTGTATGAAAATGAGGAAAATCGATGAGAAGTAAAACATTTGCAAAATAAAGAATCTAAAGGTGCATTTAGGTAAACAACTTTTAGTATTTGAAAAATACTTTCAAGCTTTTTAGATATTAAAAGTTGTTTGAAAAATTTTTAATTCAACAAAATGACTTTTGAGATATCGATTGTGATGAAATTTGAAATATTTTTTGGAATTTTATTATGAGTTGGATTTCAAATGCCAAATGTAAGTTGGGCAATTAATGAGGAGAATAAATTGATAGCTATTTTTTTAATTTATCATACTACCTTTGATTATTTTGTCTTCTATGCACGAGTTCACTTCATAGTCTTTAGATTCTCTTTTATCTTTACTCCTCTTAGCACCATCCAATCAAACTTCTCCCGTCTCTCTCTCCTACCCATCGATGCTCCCTCATGTTTGGTAATGAATGTTGAACTATTTATTATAAATTTTTTTTCAACGTATTAAACTTTATATTTTTTTATTCTTATTATTTAAGATATTAAATTTATGTTATTTTAACTTTTTTCACATTATGTAAACATTTCTAATATATTATATTTGTATAACATATTAATGAATATTGTATTATTTATTACATAAATTTTTTCTAACATATTAAACTTCATAATTTTTATTCTTATTATTTAACAGTTATTTTAAAATTTTCACATTTTTTAAAACATTTTTAATATATTATATTTGTATAAAAAATTATAAATCATCATAAATCAATGTTTTTTTTTTATCATTGTATATTTAAAAGCAAAAATCATCATTAATTCAACTAACTTTTTGTTTATCAAGTTGACTTTTAAAAAAATATATCTAAATATAAATTTTATTACAACAATTAACTTTAATTGAATTGATGTTTGTCAAATGAATTTTTAGTAAATGAACTTTTAACAAATTAAAAATCAAACACATATTAAAGCTTCCAGAATAAAGAATCTAAAGCATTAAAAAAGAACTCTATCCAAATATAACTTTTTTTTTGACATGTGGTCCACTTTACCTAAAATTAATAAAATATTTGAATTGATAATATCATCTTAAGACCAATTTTATTTACTCATAGAAGTGATATATTAGTGGGCTCCTTATTTTAATACTCCCTCTAATTATATTTATAAATTACTTCCAACATTTTTATAAAAATTAAGGAAAATATTAAACATCATTAACTTGCTGTAAAAATTTAACAAATTTTTATTTTTATTCCTATTAGATATACATGTTTTAAAAACAAAATATTTTAATATTTAATAACCTTTTCAATATTTAAATAGAGGTAAAAGGGTATAATGAACACAAAATAATCGTTGGATACAATAGAACCAGGAGTACTTTACACGCATATAGGAAAAAAAAAAAAAAAACTCGCTAAAGTTAATAAAAGAACAACACCTGAAAAGCCATTGAGTATAAAGGGATATATATATATATATATATGAAAATATATATATATATACAGAAAAAGATTGGGTAAATGTACAAATTTCACTAAGGATTATTTTTTGAAGATCACTTAATAGCGTATACTATAAATTGATGTAAAATAAACCATGAATTATAAAAAATTGAACATCTAGCACCTCCCCTTAATTTTCAACAAACAAGCTGTTATCTTTTGCTAGAAAAAGGAGTTGGCATGCCACGTCTGATGTCTTATCTTCCACTCACTCACTCCACGTCTACCCTCTCATTCTCTCTCTGGCATGCCCTTCACGCTCTCCTCCATTTCCTTCTCAAACGTAACAAAGCTTGAGCTTGTAGAAGCTTGTTAAAACAATCAAAAAAGGCAAGAGATCGACGAGGGTGATGGGTTCGAGAGATCGATGAGGGCAATGCATGCAAGAGGAGGGTGCTGTACCACTCACCAAACATTTCTTCAATCCACTCATCAACAACTCTGTTCCGGGCAACAGCTTAATGTACGAGTGGAGGGTACTGTACCAAACAGGCATGTGAGGGTTGCAAGCCATGAAAGATCAGGGCTCTAATTGTGACGACTCCACCATCAAATCTCTCCGCGACTCTTCTTCCTCCGTGCAGGCTAGGCGCTTCTCTCGCGCCTTCATTCTCCTGCCAGCTTGACTGCTTCCAATTTCGATAAGCTTAAGCAAGCCGAAGAGTCTCTCATAACCATCATGTACTTGAGCTGTTAGGGCCCTAATTGATTCATTCTTCATCATCTTCATCTGCCTGGATTTGATCGAGCCCCTTTTCTTTTTTGGCTTTTGTATGATAGATCTGTAAAGAAGCTTGTGTATATATCACAGTGATCAATGGAGGATAATTAAGATGAGACCATGACATTATTTTATCAGTTAGTTGAGTGATTTCGTCTGTAATGGCATGGAAATTACCATATATACTGGATGAATTTTTCATTTTTGCAATATCGTTACTTTTCTTGAATGGTTTTACAAGGCACGATGCATAGGGATAATGAAACATTAATCTTGAAGTTTGTTTGCAATAGATTTGGCTGTTCACAGTAGAAAAAGCAAGGAAGAGAGCGGAATAGTGAACGATGATGATAACGATACAGATGACTGGGGAAAAAAGTGAACAATGGTGGCAGAGAGAGAACCTAGAACCTGGGAAATAATGTTTGAAAAGTTGAATGAATATGGTCCCATAATATCAGAAGTTAACAAATAGTAATAGTAGGTGGCTGGTTCTCACATTTAATTAATTGATAATTTATTTTACATCATTTTACATTAGATGCTATTCATTTAGTAATAATAAAAAATAGTTTGTAATTAAATATATACATTTATTCAAAAAACAATCAATAATGATCCTCCTCAACATAAAAGTATATCTAAAAAAAATAAATTTTAAGTTATTATTAAATTCACGAGTTTAAATAAATTCATGACAAAAATACAAACTCAAATCATAAACTCAAATTATAAATTTATAATTTATTCTTATTAATAAATAAACATTAAAAGCATATAATTAAATAATTAAACTATACAATATAATTATAATTTGATTTAAATATATTTCAAATACAAATCATTAAAATTAAATCCAGATAAATAAACACTACTTTAGATCTTTATTCTTGATAAATTCATGGACTTGGACATGGTGAATACCATAAATTCACTAACTTAACAAGTGTTTCAATTACATCTATCAAATTCATTAACATTTAAAAATTATTAAGATATATTTCTTTTAAAAAATTCAAAACAACTCTTGCAATTATAACACATATTATGTACAATGTCTCCATTCCAGAAATTCATATTTCTTCTAATTATCATGTGACTCTCTAATAACCGTTCAATTAAAAGAACTCATAAATTTGAATTTGAATCCAAATCCAAAATTTTCAGGTGGAGAGAAAATTTGATCTAAACAAATCAGTCAAATTTGAATTTGACATAATATTCAATTCAGGGTATTATTAAAATTTGATCTAAACAAATCAAGGTTATAATAGAAGCATAACGAAAAGAAAGTGGAGAGAAAAAAACCAAATTGCAGAGAAGCACTTGATATATTGTAAATCTAAAAAATTAAAAAGACTAAAAAACTTGTCCTTGTGTATCCCACTTCTGCATGACAATGATTTTTAACTTTATATATACTATTAGAAGTAATCAATCTTTCATTTTTCAATAGAGATTCTGATAGAAGCAAAAAATCAAACAGGTGAAGTACATGGTAAACAATTGGGTGTTCGTTTACCTTTATCGATGTTGAGCTTGGGTGTGGCAGCAAAAGCCAGTTGTGGGAGGAAGATGAAGATTGAAGTGGTGGCAAGAAGGAGAAGGGAAAGCAGAAGATTCTGACGTCCCAGATTGAGCTTCATGAGAACTCGGAGATTGGAGCTCATTGTTTGTGAAGCAGAGCAGAGAAGAGAGAAGAGTCACACTTATTTATGAGATGAAAATAGACAGAGATAGACGTTGACGTAGCTTGGGAGGTATTGGACTCCCAATTAACATGACAAAATAATAGTATATATAAAGTTAAAAATCATTGTCATGCAGAAGTGGGGTATAAAATGGCAAGTTTTTTAGTCTTTTTAATTTTTTTAGATTTACAGTATATCAAGTGCTTCTTTGCACTTTGGTTTTTTTCTCTCCACTTTCTTTTCGTTATGCTTCTATTATAAACTTGATTTGTTTAGATCAAATTTTAATAATAGCCTGAATTGAGTATCATGTCAAATTCAAATTTTTTTCTCTCAACGACAGCAGACAACTTTGGGAACCTGAATTGAACTTCCAAGCGGGCAAAGCAGTCATCTGAAGGCAGCTGGTAGTTATGAATCCTGTCGTCTTCCCTCGTCACTTGCACCACGTTCACGAGAATTTCAGCCACGTCCTTTATCGTCACCATCACTCTGTTCTTGTTCGCCACCCTCTCCACCTTGATGTCCTGTTCTGGAGAGTTCCGTTTAGACAGGGAGCCTTCCGGGACGAGTAGATCGTTGCCGTTATAGGTGAACTTTAGAAGGCCGACGTCGTCGTTCCATTGTGCAGTCTTGCTGGCTTCGAGCGAGAAAGTCTGGGACTTGAAGAGGATGCCAAGGGCTTGGATCCAAGTGAAGTCACGTCCTCAACCTGCAGGTCTGTGGCCGATGAAACGGGCGTTGATCTGAAGGTCGGAGTCGGAGTTCAGGGCCAAGTGTTTGTTGCTCTTACCGTGGAAGTAGAACACCCTGCCATCTCCGCCTATGAAACGTGGATCGTAGCATCCTGATCCTGGTGCGTTGCGGTTCGTTTTTCGTTCTAAAACACGAAAAAAATGCAATTAATCAATTAAACTAATATAGTGATGATGAACGTTCGATAAGGACAGAATCTTGAAGGATTACACAACGAGTTATGAAGAGGAGAAGGTGAAAGAAGGATTACTTCTGCAGACAGCCTTGCAAACATGCAGGCTTGTTACAGTCAATGAAGCAAACCTTAGCCTGAGGAAAAGAGGATTCGCGGCTGGGGCATTCGGAGGGGCATCTGATTTACTTTCCAGAGCATCTGGTTTTGTGACCGCAGTAGAGAGCATAATAAGCCTGGGTTTGAATCAAACTTGAGACAAGCACCAGACTGATAATCAAGATGGAACTGCCTTCAACGATCTCCACATTGGGTTCTCTATGAATAGGATAACAAGAAACTGTAGATGATGGGATAACCCATATATAGATGTGATGGAGTCCATGGCATAAGTGACATGACGTTAATGACAATAAAGTTTGAGGATGGTAAGCATGAGCATGGTGGCATGGAAGGAGCTTAAGGTAAGGAGCAAGAAGTCTAACACTTCCAATCCAACATACCTAAAGACACTTTACAACATATTGAAAATTCAATGATAAGAGCCCGAACTAAAATTTTGAAGCAAGCCTTATTTAGTCTTGTATAAGAAGTTCAAGAGCTTGTAAAGCATTGGGACATTTCTCTCAAGCCTAAAAGAGAGCCTCTAAGCGTGTAAAATATACTTAAGATTCAAATTCACAAAGAGCCAAGCCCAAAGAGTGTAAACCCTAGCCCAATGTAAGGAAGATTACAAGTGGAGCCTCTTGCAAGCAAGGAGGCATAAAACCCTAGTGAAGAAGTCAAGGGTGGTGTGATTTTAAATCTTTTATGATCTTTTAATTGTCTCCTAAATTATTTTCTATTTTAATGATCATTTGACTTGACTCTCTTTTAAGGAGCAAAATTAATCATAGTTTTTTATTTTAAGTCTAGCCAAAAATTAGGATTAATTATATTATTTTTAATTTCTAAGTTTTGTATTCCCATAATTTTAGGATCACATCTCCTAAATTATGTGGTTGAATATTTATTTTATATTATTTTTTTCTCCTTTTAGTATTAAAAAATTAGGGTTTTAATTTTAGAAAACAGTATTCTCTATGAGCCTATATATATTAGGCATCCTCCCTCTTATAAAAGGAAGAGAAGTTGAATGAATTATTCATTTTAAAGTTTATAACTCTTATAAGCCTTAGTGCTTTGTAGTGGTGTCCCGTGTGAGAAACAGACGTGATCAAGAGCGTGATCAACTCTTATGATGTCTTCAAAGGTTGAGATTCCTAGAGGTAGGTGCTTTAGAGGATCTTATCTTTGATTACTATCCCATTGTTTATTTCACTTTTTTTTTTATTTCCATCATAAATTTCGTCCCTTTTTTTGTTTTTGTTGTATTTCAGAGTTTTACCCCTAAACTAGCATGATTTTACTTTCATGTCCCTATCAAAATGTCTCACCAAGCGGGTTGGTTCTGAATCGTGAAGGACGCTTTTGCAAACTTGTAAAGTAATTCAGTGTTGGCTCAAACTGTAAGTACGAACATGGCTGGATTCCCTGATTGAATGAAAAATTAAAAATGATTTTTGACATTTGATACATGCATGGAGTTTATTGTTATAGAAGGATACATGCAGATAGAGTTAACGTTCGATGGATTGAAGAAGAATTGGCAGGATTTGCGGGAGAAACAGCAATAACCAAATAAGTTCTCAGTTGGGGGACAGGCATGGTTGCGGGGATGGCAAGCAGCTATAGTTGATGATACCTTCGAATGAAAACAATAGAAAGGTGTGTCCTTTGTTTAATGTAGAATGACGACGCCGAAGAAGAATAGAATATGGGAGGCATGCCCCAGGGGAAAAAAGGGGGAAAAAGAACATGGGTCAGGGACTGTTGCTCATTAGACTCATGAGATTGGGTTGTAACTGTGACTAGAAGCCCATGATGAACTTTGCTTTTACTTAACCTGTTTTCCCTCAGTAACTGCCGTCAGTCAAAATAGAAAAGTAAAACTAAAGCACTTGTTTATTATGCATTATCCTTTATACCTATGAGTAAAGAAATCGTACTTGGATCTAAGCAATTGATTATACTGCTATTCGGATCCTCAACATAATTCTGCTGATAGCTGTTTGATCAGCATTACTTCTTACTTGTTAATACGCGTGAAATATCAAATGTATTTTTGGCATATTCGAGGAAACACCAGGGACGTATCTAGAAATGAAGACATGGGGGGATAAAAATGAAAGATTACAAAAAAGTTGGGGGATTAATTTTCTCACGTGTTACAAGTAAAAACATACATTTTACAAAGAAAACTTACGTCATGGCTGCTTGCCCCACGGTATCCGTCCCTGGGAAACACAGCACGAGTCCTGCCAACCTCTCTGGTATGTTATTTGTTCTCAGTATACTATATCAAATATACACATAATTATTTGTGTCCATCCTTTATTTATTTTTTTTAAATAAAATCATTTGAATTTTTTGCATGTCATTCATTCATAATTAAAGTGGGTCTGTTTATTTATCAAGAATTTACGATAAAACGCATTGTTGCCTACTTATAAATGGCATGTATTTTACATTAATAGTGAACATGTTGACATTGGTCATTGTTTTTTGGATTAATCCTAAACCTGAAACGATTACACAAATAGAATCTTGGATTTTGAACTTTTAAAGTGTGTAGAAAAATTTTTCAATTTTGAGTGCAAAAAACCCCATCTTTAAGTTAAAAAAACAGTTCTATTTTTAAGGGTAAAGAGTAGCATCATATTAATGTGCAATTAAATCCCACAAATATAAAAATAACGACTGTTTTCTCCAATTTAACGGTGATATCTCAAGCACTCAGAATGTAGAAATTAAATTTTTTTTTATATTTTAAGAGTTTATGATTCAAGATGTTATTCGCATGATAATTTAAAATCTGAAATATTTATTACCTCTTGTTTTTTTAAAAAAAATTGATACTTTTAGTCGTGTGGGGGGGGGTTGCATGGGTTGACAATGAAATTAATATCTAGTAAAAAGATAAAATGGGCTAAGCCTTAACATTTTGAGCCCATGGCCCAATTCGAACCGAAACTCTATTTTGCGTAAAAAAACTGTTTTGTGTCTGTTTTTGTAAATGTCCTATTGAAAATAATTTTAAATTACATATTTTACCAGGGTGACCTTAATGGGCTTAAATTAATTGAGCCCTACTCCTCAGCGACGGCGAGTCAGAGCCTTGGAGAAGACAAAATGCTTCGGTGCCTCCTAAGCGGGATTACCGCTTACCAGTTTCTTTGATTATTGGGTTTGATCTTTTGATGGTGCTTTTACACGAAATTGAGATAGCATCTGGAAAAACCAAGATTTGATAGCTTTTTTGAGAATTTCCTTTCGAACTGTTACTATCAAACACACGAGTCAAAGACCGAGATGAAAATGAGACCGATTCATATCGAGGCTGAGCCTTGTAAGCATCTCTCTTGGATTGTATGATGGAGGACCAGTCGTCGTCGTCGTCGGCGGTCGCATCATCCAAGACCGCCGATCTGGATGCTCCCCTTCACGCAATCGGCTTTGAGATCGATGAGTTTTCGGCTCACAGGGTCACCGGCCGTCTTCCGGTCACCCTCAAGTGTTGTCAGGTCAATAATACGACGTGCTTCGCTCTGCTTCCCGATTCTCTTTTGCCAAACGTTCCTTTCTTTCATTAATCCGTTCGAATCATTCTTAAGAAGCCGAAAAAATAATGAATAAGTAGTTTAGTTACTAATTATGCACGAACGGTACAGGGATTCGGCGTCTTACACGGAGGCGTCTCTGCTATGATAGCAGAGGGTCTTGCAAGTCTTGGAGCTCACTTGGCAAGTGGGTTTCAAAGGATAGCCGGAATTCAACTCAGCACCAACCATGTGAGACCTGTTCAACTCGGTGACGTTGTTTATGCTGAAGCTACGCCTGTCAGTATTGGCAAAACCATTCAGGCAATTTCTCCTCACATTATCTCTCTTTCATTTTTCAATGAAATTGTGATGTGTTAAAAGAACATTTCTAAGAAGTGCGCATAGATGTTGAAGAAAAATTCATTTTTTTTTTCGTAAAAGAATTCCATAGTACGCATGGAGGGAATTTTGCTTAAAATTTTCTTCTATGATTGTTCAAGTAGTTCGTAAGGAGCTTGATGTTTAATTGGGGCAGGTTTGGGAGGTGCAACTATGGAAGACAGATCCTTCAAAGTCAAAGGACAAAGTCTTGGTGTCATCGTCGATAATGACTTTAATGTGCAACATTCCCGTTCCAGAGCATGCAAAAGCTAATATTACGAGGCTCAGGAAGCATGCCAAGCTGTGAAACTGACCGTGGTGTGGTGACATGTCATCAGACCAATAATAAGTCCCTTCATTTTCTGCATATGCTCAGTTATATAGCTAGACTATTTTGCTTAAAAATACATAATCTTGTGCATATTTGATTCTTTGATTAATGGGGAAAGATATTTCTACGAATTACCTGTTTGAAGTATATTATATGGCGATCTTGCGCTCGTTTCTATTCTCTGTAGTGATGCTACCAGGAGAGTTGATGTTATAGTTGCCCTGCCAACTAGGAGTCTGATGCACAAAATAACTCACAGAACAATTCCAATACTAATTTTTTTTTTTTGGACCAACAAGTCCAATGCTAAATTTGAATTCCAGTTTTAATCATAAGGTCAATGATATTGCAAGCACAAAGCTAGATATCAACCTCGCGCAGTAATAAAGAGAGAGAAGGATAGCAGAAGTGCAGAACATAAAAAGGAGAGTACAGGAATATAGAGAGCAGTGAATCTGACTTGCCCCGCTTTTGTTAATGGGATGTAATTTTTGAAGTATAGTTTTTTTGTTTGCAGTACTGGATATGGAAATTTTATTGAGTGCGTGGTGTTTATCCTTTTGTTAGATGCTCTGCTCACGCTTGCGCATTTATAAGGCCATTTTCCTTTGCCCTCCCATCACGTCCGTGCCCATTATAAAATTAGAAACCTTAAAAGTATACCAGTAAATTAGATAATTGTTTTTAAAATTTTACATCTTTTTTATATTTATTCTTATTTAATATAATGTCTTAATTAATTTTTTATTAATTTTGTCACTTTATTGGCTTTTTTTTTTGAAAACTTTCATTACTTTAAAAGTTTTAAAATGCCATCTTTTTTGAAAATATTTCTTTATATTTTTAAATGAAAGGGGTGTAAACTAAATTGCGGTTCAAACAAAAGGTATGTTTAATGTGTAAAATCTTCAAGACTGAGAAGAAGAACCATGATCAATCTTTTACACACTTGCACAATAAGTTGAATTATATATAAATTGTCAATAGAGATTGATTATTTGATTTCTTAAATCTATGCCTTGCACGTAAAGGAATATTTAATATATTAAAAAAAAAAGGCATTCACGTTTCATATAATATATATAGCAAGAATAATAAAGAGACAAATACTATAAATTAATTATCATTATTTTTTATTTTTAAAATTGAACAATAAATTCCTTTAAAATTGAAAATTACTTTATTCTATTAAACATAGTAAATATGTTTTTTTAATGAAATAAAATATTATACTCTCTCCGTTAAAAAATGTAAGACATTTTTAACAAAATCTCACTTTCAATGAAGTAGTTATCTACTTTCAAATTAACCTTATCTTTTCATATTTATCTTTATTAAACACTCTACAATAAATCGAAAGTCATTTATTAATAGGAATACTTTTGAAAAAAAAGATAATGATTACACTTCAAAAGATTAAAAATATTTTTTTATATTTTTAAACATTCAACTCCTCAAAAAATATTTTATATTTTTAAATAGAAGGAATATGTACTTTGGATTGAATCCATTTATAAATGCAGAAAATCTTCCAATTGGACCTAATTTAAGATAGTAATAATACTTTTGAAAAAAAAGGTAATGATTACACTTCAAAAGATTAAAAATATTTTTTTATATTTTTAAACATTCAATTCCTCAAAAAATATTTTATATTTTTAAATAGAAGGAGTATGTACTTTGGATTGAATCCATTTATAAATGCAGAAAATCTTCCAATTGGACCTAATTTAAGACAGTAATAATACTGGATATTTTATAACTATATGAAAAGTTAATTTATAATTTTATAATTTAACATGTATATATTTATTAAGAATAATATATTTTGTTATAAATTAAAATTTATAAATAAATGTCCGTTATTCAATTATAAATGCCTTCAGCTAAGTTGTATATAGGATTTGAGATTCGAGAGTATTTTATAAATGTTATGAGACATCTTAATAATAAATTCTTTCATATGAAATTTAGGTATAATTTTTCCCCAAAAAAAAATCGTGCACAGCAAATAAATTGGTTATATTGTTGTCAGAAATTATATTTCAAATTAGTTATATTTAAAATTTAAAATATTAGTTTTTGAATGACCGTGCCACGAGGTTCTCCCTTTGGAAGAATATATAAATTTATAATTTAATGGTTAATTGAATCCAGATTCCACAGCAGTGAATTATACGAAGCTCCATTCCATGTATCAAATTTTTGTGAATGATTTTTTCGTTTTAATTTATGGACATTCATTTCACAGATACAGATTATCACTATGGCAGATTATCTGAACCAAATTATCATTTTGGCAACGAAATCCCAGTGGCGTTGTCTCTCTCTGAGTCCGAGCACTGTGTGCTTTGGAGCTTCCTTTACTGCCAGTGTCCCACATATATAACTTCTCGCAAGCAACGAATCGACGATCAGCGACTGGATTCGCTATCCACAGCATTCAGCAACTCTTGCAATCTCTCCCCTCCTTGGGCACCCAGAAAATCAAGACACAGTAAATTCTTGAGCCTCACTAAAGCCGCAACTCTATCTCCAATATGATTTAAGGTTCTAAAATTTGTTGTGTCATCTTCAAGCCTTGTCAGCTCTCGATAATGTTGATGACGACGCTCACCCATTCGACTTCTATGACAAAGAGACTTTAATATTTTTTTTTGGTCCCATTTAATTGCTAGAATGGATTAAAAAAATAAAAAATAAAAATAAATTAGATTATCTTTTTAACCTTTTCCTTTATGATAAATATGATAAAACTCAATATTACACATGAGAATCATCATATCTTTAAAAAGCTTCATGAATCATAATTTTTAATCTCACAAATTAAATTACCTTTTCATAGTTCATAGTACATCTATTCCCTCTACATTTTGATCACCTTACTTTTACTTTTATTTTTTTTAATTCATTTTATTTTTTCATTTCTAGCAATCAAAGGAGTCATTATTCTTTTTGTTTAGTTGAATTATATATTATAGTCAGATTTAGGTGCTCAAGTTGAAGCAAATCCTGTAATTTCCTTTGATTGATTTGATTTTCACATTGCTGTTGCTATTCTCTCCTCTTTGATTCATATAACAATGCAATGTATACTCTAAGAACATCAGTTTTTTTTCCCTAGCTTATCCTTTGTTAGGTTGCTTAAAATGCGAGCAAAAGTAGACTGAAATATCAAGTGTTCGTGATATTTGATATTATTATACTCCTGCCTTTGCCTTTTACTTAATACATTGAAGCTAAAATTTAGGATTATTGCTTTGATTTGATCTTCTATTGCGCATTGTAATTTCAATCTGGCTGCTGAATTCATCTGTTGTCTTCATATACTAATTTAACCTAAAAGAGAATGTATTCCCAATCACAGAGAGAATCGTCAAGATCGTGTATTGGGTTCAATCAGTCTTGAAATGTTGGGAGAGGGGAGGATTATGACGGTACCAACTAATTTGGAGGCAAAGTAAAAAGCCACACGATACAGCTAAATTATTTAAATGTGGCAGTAGAATTGAAAAACAGGCAGGCCCAGCCCATATGTCTTTATTATTTTTTATTTTTTGGAATTTTTAAAAATTAAAAATTTTAATTATAATATTTCATATAGTTTTTAAAAATAAAAATTATAATGTTTAAAAATTAAAAATAAATAATAAAAATTCTAATTTTAAAGTATAAACATATATTTTAATGTTTAAATTCAATTTTAAAATTAAAAATATTTTATTTTTTAAGGAAAAATAAAAACAGACCTAAAAGAGCCATCGAAACCTGAGCCCGTTTTTTCAAAGCTTATCAAGGTCGAGCTTAAAAGCCTAATTTTTTTAAAAAATATCATTTTTTTCAAGCCTAAATCTTTATAAAAATAAGCTCAAACGGGAGGCCTTTCAGGCCCGGCCTTTATTCTCAACTCTATATGGTAGTGATTTTTTTTAACCCTAATTGTTTTTAGGATAAACTCACTTTGAGCCCCATAACATAAAATTTTGCATTTAAGGCTTAATATAATATGAAAACTCTTTGCTGGCCCAAAAGCCTTAAGTGAATATATTATATATATTTTAATGAAAAATGACGCATTTACTCTTAGACATTTTATCATCAATTACAAGACATTGTATTGAGAATTTATAGACATTTTGTTGTGCATTCATGAATATTCTATTGTTCTTTCACCCTACACGACTTGTACATTTTAAGTTGAATCATTTTCACTAGACCAATTGTGCATTATAAGACATTGTGTTGAGATTTTATGGATATTGTGTTGTGCATTACTAGGCATATGTTATTCTTTCATCCTGTATTACTTTAAATTATTTTTACTAGATCAATTATACATTACAAGACATTGAGTTGATATTTATGGATATTTTGTTGTGCATTCATAGAAAGAGAGAGGGCAAATGTGTCTTGTAACATCCCAATTTAAATTTTAATAGTTAATTTGGGTTAATAAAAATTTAAAAAAAAATATTTAGAGGTAAGCAAAATTAGTAGAAGATGATTATTAAATCTAACTTAGGATATAATTCTAACTTAAAATTAAAAAAATTAAAAAATAATAAAAAAATATTATTAAATTATTATTATAAAAAAAGAAAAGGTATTTCAAAAAAAGGAAGAAGAAGAAGAAGAACGAGTTTGCTTTCGGCGGCCGCGTAATGATTACATATAAAATAATAAAAAAAGAGAGAGAGGAAAGAAGAAATAATAAAAAAATGTGGGACCCACTGAATTTTTATAAAAACTCACCTGTTTTCTTCGTTTCTTCATTTCTCCTTCCTTTTTCATTTCTCTTCGTGCATGAACAGAGGGGCGACGGTGCACAAGTTCGCCGGTGCTGGGTTTTAAGGTAAGAGTTTTTAATAAGATATTTAGGGTGTGATTTCAAACTTTTTAAGATTAAGTATGTGTTCTAAAAATTTTTCTTAGTGATCCTTCCTCTTTGATTTCTGATTTTGTAGTGGTAGAAAATTTAGGATCTGGAAGAGGATGAATTTATGTTGAATAAATATGGTTTATGAGGTTGTTTGTAGTATAATAAATGTTCTAGAGTATAAATTTATTGATGATCTTTGAATTTGTGGCTTACGGATCAAATTCTAAACTAAATCTGAAAATATATGTTAATTTATTGAGGTTTAGATAATTATTTGGGATAAGAAATGAATTATTATAGTTATAGGATTATAATTCTAAGCTAGAGACTCAATTTTTAATTTTTGGGTATTTTAGGTACGAATTTATGAAATAAAAAGAAAATTTTGATAATAAAAATTAGTTTAGAAGTTGATTTTTAGATTATTAATGTTTATTGATAATTAAAAGAGGAGTCAAAAATTTTACTTAATAGTGTTGACTCTAGATTTGTATTAAGATTGAGATTAGAAATTATGTTATATTTTTAATTCTATTATTAGAATTATTTTATTAGTTTCAAAAATTGAAACTAATATTTATAAATAATATGTTATTTGTAGATTGTATTATTGGTGAAGATTGTGGTGGGAGAGAAATTATAAGGAATAATTTATTGAAAAAGCCACGAGGTAACCATGCTTTTAATTTGTGATTAGTGTTACTTCATGTTAATTGGGTGATTATTGAGAAAATTATGAATTTTGTAATATTGTATAATTGTGCAACATTATTATGAATTTGTTTGATTATTGTGGGAGGTGTTGGGAGACTTGCTATTATTGTTGTATTTATGTGCCACGTGGTACGCCCCTATTGGAGCTCAATAGGTGGTTTGTAAGGGCTCGAGCTAATCTACCTTTGGCCGGGTAATTTAGCACCGAGTGAGGTCTACGGCTTGAGGTTAATGGAGGAATATAAGGATGATTGTTTGTGTGTATTGTAATATTTCTTATATTTTGTTAAAATTATATTATTTTTAATTCTCACTTAGTAAGCACACACTTAACTGTTTGTATACACTATCATAAATTGGCTTTGGTTACTGAAACTTTTGAGTTTCATTATGTGGTTAACAATTTTCAGGAGAAGAGCCACAAGTGACACGTGAGGAGTCCCAGAGGCTTAATGGCATGGATCCACTGTCTCTTTTGGGTATTTGATTTATGATTTATAATGTGTTATATTGTCAATATTAGAACTTTTTGTTTATTGACAATTATATGAATATATAAATGTAATCATGCCTTTCAAACTATTTCTATTTTTGGTATACTTTGGATGATTGTAATTTTAATATTTGATTTACTTTGGATTGGTTAAAATGGCATGATTATGAGGCCAAATAACTGGCTTGTGTTGAAAATTGACTAAATTGTTCATTTTACTTGTTGGGAGTATAACGATGGACAAATGTAATTTAGTTTACTTGTTGGGAGTATAAGAATAGATAAATGTGATTTAACCTAATGACATGTAGGAGGTAAAAATTTATCTGAAATGTTATATTGTGTGAGTTGAAGCCAATTATAAAATATTTTATATTGAAATTATTGATATAAAAATATGTTGGGTGGCTGTAACCCAACTATGGTTGAGTTAAATTATTTAAAAAAAAAAAATTGGTGTGTTACATGTCTTTTCTCCTTAAAATATATTCCCACTTAATGCCTTGAGCCTACAGAGATTTTTCAAATTATATGGGTCTTAAATATAAATTTTCGTGTTTTGGGGGCCTAAGTGAGATTTTCCCTTATTTTTACCTCACATGTCCCTGACACAAATAAGATAGTTTTCCTTATAAGAAATTATGATGTAGATATCTAAAAGAATCAGATAACATGTCCTTTTGATATGATAAAAAAGGACAACTTAATCAGATGATTTGTTAAGTTTTCTAGGACTCATTTTAAAATGAAAAAAAAGTAATTTGTGTTTAGAATCTCATGGGGGTTAGGTTGGATTACCCATTTTTCACTAATTTAGAATCTGGTAAAAAAAGAGATGAGGGGACAATGATTGATGAATTGCTATAGTAGCAGAGATGCCCATAAAATTACAATCTGGCTATTTATTCCCCACAAGAATTTTGATACATTCATCCTTCTGCAGGCCAATATCTGAAAATACGCCAAGATCAACAGCACAGAAAATCAAAATGGATCTAGCACAGCTTGTTTTGTTGGGATCAACTATCTGTGTCATGCTTACAGAACACTTCTCTATGAAGTTACTCGCTGAACATGTTCTGAACTGGAAGAAGCCAAAGGAGCAGAAAGCCATAGTAATAATCATCCTTATGGCCCCGATATATGCTGTAGAGTCCTATGTTGGTTTGATAAACTTCTCTGGAAGCAAAGCATTCTTTACAGTCTTGGACTCGATCAAAGAGTGTTATGAGGCTTTGGTAAGATTTTTACCCCTGAAATGTTTACGTTGGGAAATCCAACTTGTACTTTGGTGTTAATTTTATGCAAAATTTTTGTAGGTGTTTTTAAATTTGAAGTATTGCAACTTACTCCGTTAGTTTTGTACAGGTGATTGCCAAGTTCTTGGCTCTAATGTACAGCTACCTGGGCATATCTCTGAGCAAGAACATTGTGCCAGATGAGATCAAAGGACGAGGGATTCATCATTCATTTCCAATGACTTTTTTTATGGTGAATAATACTCATCAAACTTCATTGATATTCTGATCAGCAATGTCATCATGCCTTTTGTCATGACATCTTGTTGCTGACGATAGGTTATACAGACAAAAGCAAATTTGGGAAATGTGGATTTATGGTCTCCGAGGCCATTTTTCTTGAGAAAAGGGCGCTCTATCCCTTAGCAAGTTGGGCAGCAACATTTCTTGTTGCTGTCTGTGACTAAGTCAGTCAGTATTGATCCATTTGCATGATTGGACATTTGGGGTCAAATTAACGCCGATAGATTTTTCTTTTTCATTTCATGGCAATGCCTTCGTTTGGGTCATAGACATTGCAAGAAGAAAACTTCATAAGATGAATGGCCTTCGGAAGTCATCGTAAAGATATGTAGAACAGCCACTGACAACTCAGCTTTTTTCTCTTTTCTGCATCATGCTATCGCATGATATACATGATGCATCATTTAGAAATTTAACTAATCACTGTTCTCGTTTTACTTCGTTGACTATAATATGTCAACATATAGATGTGAATTTTAATGCGTCATGGCCATCCTATGCAGCACCATACTGGTCATCTGAACCAGCATACGCTGAAGCTTCTCAAGTATTGGACTTGGCAATTTGTTGCGATCCGCCCTGTGTGCTCCGTCTTGATGATAACTCTACAGTATTTAGGAGTATATCCTAGTTGGGTCAGCTGGACATTCACAATCATTCTAAATGTTTCAGTGACGCTGGCACTATATTCCCTTGTTGTGTTCTATCATATGTTTGCAAAAGAGCTGGCACTCCATAACCCTCTTGCCAAATTTTTATGCATAAAAGGAATTGTCTTTTTCTGCTATTGGCAGGTACTTTTCTATCATTCTATGCTCTTCCGTCACTCTGAGTCATGATTAGTCATGGAGTAAATTAATATTTGGGTTTATTTAGATTTAGTCCATATAGGAGATAAATGCTCTATAAATTCATAAAAACGCACATCTTTCAGGGATTCAAAAGCTTTGTAAATTCTCGAACTCGTGGGATCTTGATCTAGACTAGGAAAATGAAATTATTTAGAAATCTAACAGTAATGCCACTACATTTCTCAGTTCGTGGATGCATGAAAGATGAAACTGTTTGAACTAAGATGTCTTGTAGTATTTAATTTGACAGTTAAGGTTTTTTAATTTTTCAGGGCATAGCACTTCAAATCTTGGCAGCATTGGGAATAATCCGATCCCTTTATTCGTGGCTGGATGTGGAGCGCATAGAGGAAGGCTGGCAAAACATGTTGGTCTGTATTGAAATGGTTTTCTTCTCCGCCTATCAGCAATATGCATACAGTGCCGCACCTCACAAAGATGATAACAGTAGTGGTGAAGCTATAGATAAGAAGGCAAACTGATTCTTGTAGTGCACCCACACCGTAACTGTGCCAGTTATGATCTTCTTTGTGCTTGCTATTATCACTGTCTAATTTTATTGCATCTTCCTGCCTAAAATTGGTTACATAATTTGGAACACAGATGTCTAGTTAGATGTACCCAAAGGGCTCTGCTTTATTTTGTCGCAGGTTGGGATAAAATTTCTCTCCCTCAATGTTAAGCTGCTAAGCATCCTAGAAGGCATACTCTACTCTGTAGTGCTTTCTCTGTTGTAGCTTGTAGGACTTGTGGCGTGACGTTTTTTTCGATGAGTAACCAGGAGAAAATTAAGGTCCTGGTTATTAGAAATGATTGGAATGAAATGGACAGAAAAAAATAAGATAATTAAAAAGGATAGGTAAATTATATTTACAAAAGAGAAGGGTAATTAGCTCATAAGGTTAGAGAATTATGATTTATGAAATTTTTAGAGGATGTGACATTTCTCACATTTATAATATATATTAATAATTTTATCATACTTACCATAAGATAAAAGGGTAATGTAATTCATTTTTATTTTAATTTTTTAATACATTTCATTTAATGTTTTTCTAGCAATTAAACGTGACCTAAATGACTTTTTTGGGGTTTGTTTGTCTATAGGAGTTTATATAATCAAATCAAATTGATCATTCCTTGCAAAATCGATCATCAATGACTATAATTGAAGGCTCAATTTTTTTTTAAACTATACTTCATTAGACTGTCAAGCTTCATTAAAGAGAGAAAAATCAGATGATGATAAGTTAAAATATCAAGAACAATTATTAATGTTTTTTTAGTTAATTTGAGATTTGGTAATGGTAAAAACAAAAAACCAAAAACTTGTGACGATTGCAAAGTCTGGTTCACATTATTTGCGTGGCAGGTACAGAATCCACTCACTAAACGCCGTGGTTATGGTTATAGAAAACTTGGCCCTCTTACAGATAATAGTGGATTGTGTAAAGAGCTCTCTCGCATATTCTTCATCGTTAGCTCGGTCATCTCTACTCACTCTCTCAGTTCTCGACACTCCAAAACAGCGCTCAGAAGCATGGAGGCGTGGACAACTGTGTCTTGCCAAGCCCCGAATCTTGCTCATCTCTTTTCTCCCAAGTCAACTTCCCTCCTTCATCGCCACAGTTTCGCTAGCGACGAACGTATCTTCCTTTCACATTTTCCCTCCACTAATAATTTCATCTTTCTCTTTACAATTACAATCTCCTATTCTCGTTGCTCGACTTGGTTGTATAGTATTGGTTAATGAAAAGTTATATAAGATCAAGGTGATTTTGAAATAAAAGCATTATTTACAATCTCAAGACATGGACTAAAGATACTTTCTTGCAAATTCTAAAAAGAACTATAATACTTCAATTTTTAAAAAAACTTTTCCACATGCTCATCTATTTTATTTATAAGAAAAAGAAAATATTTATTTTTGTTCAATTTATAAGACATTTCAATAATTATTGTGTCTATATTTCATCATTTTGCCCCTATTAAATGTTAGAAAGATTGTTAAATATTAGATTATTATATTATTAAAATATGTATATTTAATCGGGAATAAAATTAATAATTATTAAATTTTTAAAAAATATAACTTTAGTGTCTATACTTTGCTCAAATTTTGTTACAAGTTTCTTTATTTTTTTATTTTAAATCTCTATATTTTTATTTTTTAATGTTATAGGTACCTATAATAGAATCTAAAACAATGAAAAAAGTGTGGGAACCTATAATAAAATTTAAGCAAAGTGCAATAATCCAAAATTATATTTTTTTCTAAATTTTTTAGACAAAATTAATGACATTTAAAATTTTCCTTAATTTCTGTGAAAATGATGAACATAATAAATAACACTAGAGAGAGTACTTTCTTTGTATTTGAATATAGGAGAATTTTAAATTAGTTGATTATAATAATTCTGTTTGAAATTAAAATGTTTAAATTAAAATACCCATATAATTAATGTTTATCATTTTTTCCTAATTCAATGATACTATTTATTTATGAAGGATAATTTGGAAAAAAAAATACAATTAATGCTTTTGAAATTTATAATTTTGTTTATAATAAAAAAATATGACAGTTTTTCTTATATTTGAAAATAAAATAGTGTTCAATAACTTTCTTAAATTTAGAGGCAAAATTGAAAAGTAAATTACTTCTAAGACAATTTTATTGTTTTAAACTATCGGAATAAGTTACTTAGAAGTGATTTATAATTTAAAATTAAAAAAAAGCACGCCATATCAATGATGATAGTATAATTGTCGGCTTCTTTATTTTCGGCAACGCATAGAATTTTTTAGCTTCCTTGCTAAGATGACACGAGTAACGTCCTTTACCGCAACACAGGAAGATATCATTGTGTTGAAACTCGAAAAAGTTACAAATTTAATTCTCGAACAGTGCTATGCTTGCATAGCTTGTTGTGGAACAGAGAGAGAGAGAGAGAGAAAGAAACTAAGAAAGATGAAATAAGCAACGTTTGTTCTAGTTCTAGTTTAATTTGTCAAAATCCTGCATGACCTTGTGCTGGTTGGTTGGGTTTTCGATGTTGAGCAAAACCTGTTCTAAAACGGGTTAAATTTTATAAGCTATTGCTGCAAGTGATATGGCTAATGAAGTGGAAGGACTGGTTACATTTCTGAGAGATCACGTTGAAATGCTGCAGATCATCATGGACCTCCGAAGGTGAATTTTTGGCAGGACCCAATGAATCTAAGTGGAAAGAACACGTGAGTCTACAAGTTTAAAGTTATCGTGCATGTTTTTGGTCGCCTCATGACTTAATATGATATAATGAGATTTATTCATAGTAAAACCTTGAACGTTTCACCAAGTTTTCTACAATTTTTAAAGCTCTCGTGCATGTTTTTGGTCGCCTCATGGCTTAATATGATATAATGAGATTTATTCAAAGTAAAACCTTGAACGTTTCACCAAGTTTTCTGCTGTTGCAGCTTGTTATTGTTTCCTTAACTGGATTGGGTTTACTCTTCTACGGTGGATACAAGTTTTTCACCGGAGGCAACGACAAGAAAGAAGAGGTACTTTAATCCACCTGTAAACAAGATACATTTGTTGCCTTTGCATATACTCATTTGTTTCTTTCTAAATAGATTAAATGCCCGAGATTAAATACCCGTTGTCTTGAACAACAAAGTCTAAATTCTTAAATTTAGATATATATATATATATATATAATTTGGCTGGAACGGGTAAACATGAATAAACAACGGTTGAAGAAGATAATATTAAATTATATGAATTCACCTAATCAAAACAGAATAAAAAGAATGATATTATTAGTTAGTTACCTGATTCAAACAGAGCAAAGAACCCAAGGTCACATCTATCTCAGATTGGTCCTTCCTGAAACATTTCAAATGCAAATTCAGTAGCTGTTTTTCCTAAACTTACCGAGCCAAAACGCAACAAGACTCAAGCAAGTCTACCAAACTATACTATCATAAGTTCGTATTTCCAGCAACAGGCAGTCCAAAAGATTTGATTTTTTTTTAATTTCAATGCTTTAAGAGGTTCTTTTTTATTATTAGACAGCAAAAATATTTACGTTAAAATAGTAAATTAAGGATCAAAGATGATAGCAACAAAATTTAGCCCCAACAAAAAAGGAATGTTGGATTCCAGTAAGTTATGGGGCTTCTTTATGGAAGACTCAATTCAAAGAAAATAAGGTAATGGATTGGAATAAGCTAGGGATTAATGGATGGAAAAAATACGGAAATGCATTTTACGCCTGGCAGCATATGATAGAAAAAATAATTCAAACAAAATTATTAAAAATACACAAATCATATAGTTTGTTTTGGCAAAGTCACGAATGATAAGACTATCAAATCCAAAATCTACCCAATGTAGGAACAGAAATAGCAAAGAAACCAATCCATTACTTGAAGCTAACACCACAGAAAAGTGGAAATGATTTGTGCTTGGATTGAAAACTAGCTAGTGTCATTGAACTCAAACCTAAAGGCATAAAAATTCATATTCATAGTATTCTTAAACTTGCTAGCAGATCACAGAAAACATGGATTCAGATATACAACAGTAGCATATTTTAAAGCAAAATAATTGGCATGTGTTTAGCACGTGCTGTCATTTAGCCAACTAATTGAAGATGTTGAAACGTAGTTTGGTTTGATTTATTTTCAGGGTTTATGTCCCCAACACGTGTCAGTTGTTAGTGGATTATGCTTATGCTGTTTTATTTGCTATGTAGCCCATGTATTATTTAATAACCAAGAATTATCATTTTTAGAACATAGAATCAGTTATGTGATCAACAGCTAGAGCAGAATAAACGCTACCACTTACAATTATAATCTATATATAGAGAAATATAGGTCTTATAGATTAATAAGAACCCACATGATAACTGAGCAAACAAGACATGAGTTCAATCAGCTATAGCTATTTCAAAATTGTGGGAGCTAATTTCCAAAAATAAGAGCAAAAAAGAATAAAATGAAATCAATTCTAATAATGAAGTGCTTTGGGACATCAATTGATTCTGATTTCTGAGAACTTATTCTGCAACTGTTGGGCCACCCAACATTTGGGCCGTGTTTACACAAGGAAGCCCAACAGAAACATCCAGGAGAAGAGTGAGCAAGGGCATAGTGGGAAGGGCACAACAAATAACGGTGCCTGACCTTGTCAGAGTAGTCAGTGGTGTAAAAAGGGAGCGGGGAATGACAGACGGGGAGGACAGTAGTATCATGTTAGTGGAGAGGGTCTAGTCTCTCGAAAACCAGGTTATGTGTGAGGTCTTTCTTGTTCTTGTTCTTGGTTAAGGATTGAGTAGGAGTATTGTGTGAGTGCTGATTAGTGGCTGTATTCTCTACATTTTCCCTTTGTAGTAAAGGATACCCAGTAAATTTATCTCTTTGTTCACCTGATTATCATTTCCTTTATCTGCTATTGTTGTTAGTCCTATCATTTTGGTATCAAAGCGAGCTATTTTGGGGCATGGTTAATACTAGAATGGAGGGAAGAGTTGAGCATTTGGAACGAGTAGTGAAACAAATGCAGAGGAAACAATGGAAAATCACGGAAAAACTTACCAGTGTTGAGGTTACTACGACGCTCATCTTATGTTAGTTGGAAGAGTTGAGGAAGGCATATGAAGCTGCCTAAGAAGCACCGATACGGGTACGAGTGTCGGGTACGATACGATATGATACACGGATACGGCTATTTTTTAAAATTTTAGGATACGGGTACGGCTATATAAATAATTAAATATTAAATATTTGGATGTCTAAAAATACAATTTCAAGATGTCTAATGCCATCATAAAATATAATACAATAAATAGTTAAGTACTTAAACACTATCAAGTAGCAAAAAATAACTATCAACTTAAAGTAATTCTAATAAAAATTTTAACATGAAGAGAGCCAATAAAAATTTAAAATAAATCAATGTTTAACTCAATAAAATAATCCATTTAAATAAAAAAAGTTTAAATCAGTAATTCAATATTAAAATTTAAAAAACTTATCAATTGCTCTGCCTCTCTCGGTTTAGCAGTGAAAAATTGAGCAATAAATATTCATTATCCAGCAATGCAATAATCCCAATAAATATCCATCAGGCAGCAGCACAACATTGAACAATAAATAAGTGAAGAGCAGAAGAGATGGAGACGAGGTCGAAGACGCTGAGGTAAAGCTCAGATTGAAGCTGAATAAATTACCAAGATTGAAGTTGAAGATTGAAGACTGAAGAATGATGAGGTTGAAGACGCGAGAGTGAGGTAGCGTGCGAAGTGAGAAGTGAAAACGCAGCGTGTGAAGTGAGAAGTGAAAACGCGTTTGACTCAAAACGATACAGGGTTGAAGAACAATACAGCGGTCGACACAGGCAGTGAGCGACAGAGCAGAAAACGCGAGAAAGGGGTCAACTGGAGCTGAAAATCTTAGGGCATTGGGTTTCTGGAGTTGGGACTGAGTAAAAAGAGGTGAAAAACGCAGAGTTTCATGTCAGCCCGCGTCCGACCCGTGTCCGCCCTCGTCAACCCGTCTCAACCCGCATCTGCCTGTGTCCGCAGGAAACTAGGAAAAGGGACACGCCATTCCCCCGTCCTTATCCGACACAGACACGCCAGCCATTTTCACATATCAGTGCTTCTAAGGAAGCTGCCAACCTACCACCTCTTCTTCCTCCACCACTGTCGGAGGATGGACTAAGAAATGAAACTAGATATATAGAGGGGTTCAATACCGAGGATCGTGAAGGAACAAGGCAGAATGAAGGCTTCAAGCATCGTCGACTCGAGCCCCCTATTTTTGACGGTGAAGACTCATTAGGGTGGAACAATATTTCATAATGAGTTGGGGAAGCTAAGAAGCTAGATGATGCTATGGTGAGTTTAGAGGGCAAAACTATGACATGGTTTCAATGGCTCAAGATGTGTACCCTTATGCATTCATGGCAGGAATTCAAAAAAGAAGTGATCAGCAGGTTTCATTGTCAGTAGCTGGGGGTGAACACAAATGAATTTTAGCACTTAAGTAAGAGGAAACCGTTGTTGTGTTCAGGGAAAAGTTTGAATTACTCTCTGCCCCTTTATCCATGGTACCCAATAAGATGCTAATGGGGACTTTTGTTAATGGCTTGAATGAAGAAATCAGGGCTGATGTATGACTAATGCATCCTAAGAGTTTTAAGGAACTCATGGATTATGCCGGTCAAGTAGAAGATAGAAATAAAATTAAGGAGAGAGTACTAGAAAAGAAGAGGAGTAAGACGGTGAAGTCAATGTTGGGGAACCGTTGGAGTGACGCTAAGGCACTGACACCTAAATTCAATGTTGTTGAGACTGTTCGGAATAAGGAGAAACATGTACCAATAGCTTTATATGTCCTTGGAGCTGTCGATGACTACTGCCGTGGGGATTATGAGCATAAGGATGCTAAAGATGACTGGGAAAACTCATGGGTGTGACGTCTTAGTGCTCATTGATTGTGGTGCCACACATAACTTCATGGCTACCACACTAGTGGATGAACTTTAGATTCCTACTCAAGTTGTCAAGAAGTACACGCTTACTATTAGGAATGGGAGGAAGGTTGTCTCAAATCTCAAATGTCTCGTGATGGAATTAGAGATTCAGGGCATGCAGATTAAACAATCCTTCTATCCTTTTAATCTGGGCAATGTGAATCTTGTGTTGGGAGTTGAATGGTTAGAGTCACTTGGAGAAACATGTATGAATTAGAGACATCTTTATATGAAGGTCAAGATGGGGTGCCAATAGCTTTGCCTCAAGGGAGACCCCACCTTGACCCAATCCCAGGTTTCACTCAAATCAATCAAGAAGGCTGTCCCAGGTTTCGCTCAAATCAATCAAGAAGGCTGTCAAAAAGAGAGGGGTTGGGTACATCATTGAGTTGGCGTTATTGCAACAGCACGAAGTTGCAGCTCAACCCATTATCCAAAGGGAAGAATATGAGATACTTAAAGAATTTTCTGTGGTTTGCAATCTTGTCAAAGGATTACCCCTAAGGCGCACCTAGGATCATGCTATTACTATAAAAGATGGTTTGCAACCTGCAAACACGTGGCTCTACAAATATGGTCATGCTTAGAAGGCTAAAATTGAGAAATTGGTAAAAGAGATGTTGATGACAGGAGTGATTCATGTAAAATTCTGAGTTTTAATCCCCTGATTAATTAAACCTAATTAGGGTAATTAAGTAAGTTGAAGTGGTGTGTGGCCAAAGAGGTCTAATAATCATATTTGATAATATTTTAGCCCTAATTGTGGGTTTGGTATCAAGGTGGGCTACCTGAGTATCAAAAGGAGGAGAAAAAGAAAAGTTGATGTTGCTATGTCACACGCCATGACGTGGAGATCATCCATCATGGCGCACAGACGCTTTTGAATGAGGGAAGACCTCTCTGTGCCATGTGTCGCAGCGCTTGGCCATTTTTTGCAGTTTATCAGATACAAAATGAGATAGAAATAGAAAAGATTAAAACGAAAAAACGTGCTAAGCTCTGTTAGGGTTTACTTGTGGACGACATGGGGAGTATTTTGAAGGCTACAAACACCTAAGGTAAGTATTACACTCATTAATCTCCCAATTTCTTCTACATTTATGAATTTGTTATGGTTAGGGTTTGATAGTAGAAGTAGAATTTCGGTCCATATAGGGTATGGGTCCGAATTTGTTGACTCAAATGAAGTTAATGGGAGTAGATTAGAGTATCTAAACCTAGGTATAATGAGTTTTAGTGTCTTGGATTGTTGGGCACCATTAATATCTGAAAATTTCATTTATTATAGGTAGTTGAAAGTTTGTGATGCCATTAATAGGGATTTAATGGCTCATTAATGCTAT